AGGCTCTGAGCAGGGAAATACAGAACACAAGTCCCTCCTTGGACCAGAGCACACTGGGTACCAGTGCATTCAGCAGAAGGACTGTGATCAGAGAAGGAAGAGGAAAGGTGTGAGAGGGGCCGGGTAGGTCACAGATGAGCAGAGGGGAGCAAGGAGGGCATTGATGGGAGACTTCTGGGGGTCCTCAGTCCTTGCAGCTCCTCTGCTTCCACAGTGATGGTTATAGAGGGGCAGGAAAGGAGGCAGGAAGTGCCAGAATGTTCACAGTGTCAGGGGTTTGGAGACAGAAGTGAGGAGGGAGAGTGCTCCAGGCAGAGGACACTGCGTGGGCAAAGATACAGAGGCAGGAGATGAGAGATGGCTCAGTTTGGGGAACAGTGATCAGAGCATGTACAGATGTCCATCAAGGAGGATCGAAGGCCCCCAGGGAGTGTTTGGGGGGGGCCACCCCTCAGACTGCAGGGCTGACTGTGGCCTCACGTGGGCCCCCTATGAACCTCAGCCTGCAGGACCCACCATAGCAGCTGTACCCAGTGCTCTCGGGCCTTTCAGGGGAAAGGGAACTCTCCTCCCTCCTATTCCTCTCACTCTGGGTCAGGCTGAGCGGCCTCCAGAAAGCATACACGAAGGGTATCCAGACAGTGTGGTCAAGACCAGAGACCAGGGTGAGTTGTTTCTGGGCAGGCGAGCCCAGCGTGGCCCACCTGCCTCGTCTGGTCGCTCCAACGAGGAAAGAAGGCGTGTGGGGGCTTCTTAGAAGGTGAGGCAGGGGAGTGGCCCCTCTGCATCCCCTAGGCTGGGAAAGCTTCAACCAGGCCGTGGGATTGGGGCATCAGAGCACTTCGAGACCACCCAGTCCAACCCTGTCATCTTGCAGAGGAAGGAGCAAGTGGCTTACCCCTGGTCATGTGGTAGTGAATGGCAAAGCCATTCTGGGGCCTCAGAGCCCAGATTCACTGGTTAACGCTGTGTCGTGCTGCTGCCAGGTTCTGCTGCCAGGCAATGCCACGTGACTTTTCAGGTTGCAACCTCTCCCCGAGACATATTGTGGCCACCCTGGCCGTGAGCCTCTCTGGCTCTAGCTGGCCTGGACATCAGATGCCTGAGCCCTTCTTCAAGCCCGTCCTCAAAGCCCTGCCAGCACTCTGGGGAGACCCCAAAAGGATAGCTGGTGGTCAGGAAGAAAGGCAGGAGCTCACTTGAGCATGGCGCCTTGTGGCTGGCAAAAAGCTTCCCTCGTGAGCCAGTATGTGAAGGTCAGACTAGCTAAGCCTACCCTCGGGCACACAGCCCCTAAACTCAAGCCCAGGGGTCTAACCCCTCCATCCTGGAAGGACTGAGGACCCTCCAGAAGCCCTGGGGCCTCCCATTGACATCCCCTCGCTCCCCTCTGCTCAGCCGTGACCAGCAGCCTTTGAGTACCGGAGTGCTTTGGGCTTGGCCTGGTGCGGGGCTACCTCAAGATGGTCAGGAGAGAGGCAGGACTTGGTCAGTCATCCCGGGACCAGGGTGGGTCCTCGCCTCAGCCTCATTAGGAGAGCCAGGACTCACTAAATCCTGGAGAACTGAGTCATGTCAGCTCAACCCCCAGAGACAGTTGATCCATTTCCATGATAAACCATGACATCATTGACACGGGGCAGGCCTTCCTTGGATGCAGGATGGGCCAGGGACCGTGCGCACGTGTGTGTGTGTGTGTGTGTGTGTGTGTGTGTTTCTCACAATCACCTCGCCAGCTTGCCAGGGTGGATGTGGAACGGAGGGGAGGTGGTGGTAATGCCCTTTGTAATGCCTCAGAGCGCACTGTAACTGTGGGTCATTATTGTGGGTCACCGAGGACCATGGGAAAGCCCAGGCACCGAGGGGTGCCTTCCCCTCCTCCTGCTCCCTTCACCCTAGGGAAGGGCACTGTCCTAGGAATGGTCCATCTGGTGGCTTCCTCGCTTCCTCCCTCCTAGGCCATACAGGGCCCTCCTCCTCCTTCGGGCCTCCCGCACTGCTGAGCCCCGGGAAGAGTTCGGTGGCTGCTGATTCATAGGGCCACATCTTGGAAGGACATGACAGGTTCTTCCTTGTCAGATTCGCCTTGGTCTGCAAGCCACCAAGTGGCGCGTGACGTGCCAGGGCTGCCCAGGATGTGCAGGGAGTGGGCTCAGGGAGACTTTTGCACCTTCTTGCCCCTCCTCCACCTCTCCCCCAAGTTGGCCCCGTGGGGTGGTGCCAGGACTCAGGATCCCAAAGTTTGTGGAGGGCAGTAGACTCAGATCCCCACGGGCATGTCTTCTGAAGCACTTGGAGCCTGGCTTTGGGGAGTCATGAGAACCTCTGATTGGCGCTTATTTGAAAAGAGGAAGAAGGAGAAGAAACGTGATTCGCCAGTGTGGCACCCCCCGGGGCCGTGGCCCCTCTCATTTGCCCTTCTTCTTCCAGCTCCCAGGGCAGGGGAGCACCCACGGCGACTGTGACCACAGAGCTCTCAGTGTCCCCAATCAGTCTTCTTCCTTCTGGCAAAGAGCCCAGGCCTGAGGGCTCCGGGAGATGGGGCTGAGTCTTGGTGTGAGTAACCTGGGCCTAGCGGTGGCCCGCCGGCCAGAAGTGCTCCTCCCGCCCCCGCCCCGTGTGAATTTTCGCCCTTCGTGAATGATGAGCCGTGTGGATGAAGATCAGAAGGCCCCCACTTGGAGAGCGAGGCTCTCTTTTCTTGCAGGGCGCCATCCCCTGGCCTAGAGGTCTCCACCCCCAGCCTCTGGCCTCAACTCCAGCTCAGCCTCTTGTCCTCTCTCCCCCCGCCCCCGAGGGAACTCTGTAAAGTCAGACTTTTATTAAGCATTTATGAAGCTCTTGCTGTGTGCTTACTTGTGAGCTAAGCCCCACCCCAGGGAGCAAGTGGCCTGCCACTGCCGCCCATGCTGGGCTTCCAGTCTAGCTGAGGAGAGAGCTGGAGTTCATTCTGTGCATGGAGCCTGGCTCCTGGTCTGTCCCCGCCACATGAGCAGATGGTGGGAGAGCCCGCAGCGGTGACCCTGGCAGAACGGAAGCAGGAGGGCTGGCCTCAGTGGAGGCTTCAAAAGCAAGAAAGGCAATGAAGACAGTGCAGTCAGAGGACCTGGGTTCAAATTCTGCCCTGTCCCTCTGTGGGCCTCAGTTTCCTCCTCTGTACAATGAAGGTTCAGTTGGATGGCCTCTGCAGTCCCCCCAGCTCCAAGTCGACAAGCTTGGCGGTGACCTGGGGCTCGAATCCATCTCTGTGCCTCTCTGTGGCCTCAGTTTCCCTTCTTGAAGTGGACTAGCTAGAGAAGGTCTGGAGGATGCCACGAGGTCCTAGAGCCCAGCGCCAGTGAGCAGTGGCTGGAGGCCCCAGGTTGTGTCTGGCCTGGAGAAGACGGCTCTTTCCAAATCCTCTGGAGCCCTTGTGGCTTCTGTGAATGAAGTACGTGGGTCTGCCCCATTCAGAGGACCATGAGAAACTGTAAGGGGAAATGGCAGCGGAGATCTCCACCATACTTTGAGACGTTGGCGGACTGCTGGGTGGCAGATGTGACTCAGAACAGAGCCAGGAACGATGGAGGAAGATGTGAAGAGCCATGTGGGAAAGTCGTCTCAGCATGAGAGAGCTGTCCCTGTGTGAGAGAGCCATCCCTGCGTGGGAGACTTCGAGTGAAGGCATCATGTCCACTGGTCACAGGTGTTGGACCAGATGGCCGTGGGGCTCCTGTGAGCCATTAGTGATCTTGGAAAGCTGTTTCAGGAGAGTGCTGGGGAGGACACAAGGGGGTTCAGGAGACAGTGGAGGCCCTAGGAGCCTATGATGTTTTGTAGGTGTTTAGCAGTGAAGGGAAAGTTTGGGTAAGGGTGTGTGTGTGCGCGTGTGTACATGTGTGATTCGGAGCTGACCTGCAGTCAGAGGCAGAGGTGGGCCCCCCACAGGCCTGCTTGTCACTTCTGCTCAGACAGTTTGTGGCAAAAGGAAGTGCAGGAAGCAGCATTTATAGAACGCCTGCTTGTGCCAAGCTTATTTTTTTTTTTGGTTAAGTGACTTGCCCAGGGTCACACAGCTAGTGTTTTTATGTGTCTGAGGCTGGATTTGAACTCAGGTCCTCCTGAATCCAGGGCTGCTGCTCTATCCACTATGCCACCTAGCTGCCCTGCCAAGCTTACTTGTCAGCGCTTTTATAAACATGATCTCATAATAACTGTGAGAGATAGGCACTGTTGTTATAACCCCATTTTACAGTCGAAGAAACTGAGGCACATAGACTTGCCCAGGGTCACCAGCTCGTACGTGTCTGAAGCCAGGTTTGAACTCAGGGTCTTCCTGAGTCCAGGCCCGCCCTCAGAGGCTCCCCACATTCAGACTGGGAAGTCATGCAGGGCACGTTTCCTCATTCGCCACGTTGTGGAAAAGGAAACCAAAGAGAAAGCCGGTGGCTTTGCTCTGCGCTCAGAGAGCCTCGGCTCTGGAGGTGACTACTAGCTACGCTGTTCTCCTGGTTCTGTTTTATCCAGACTTTGGTTTCCAGGATTCCAAGCCGGTCTGGGGCCACCCTGTTCTATCACCTGGGGCTCAGGCAGACACAGACTACTTACATTTCTGTTTCTAGCTGTGTCTGGTGTTTTCCTTCCCCCGGGTCTTTGCTCACATCGTTTCCCCATCCTAGGAGTGCCTCCCTCCTCTTCAGCCTCAAATTCCTGACCATCCTTTTAAGTCCAACCCCAAGGTCAACCCCCCATGAAGTTTTCCTTGATCCCCCCCCCTCCACTTCCCGGAATGTTTTCTTTGGGGCTTTAGTTCCCCACGTCTCAGCCTCTAAGCTCCAGTCCCTTATGGCATGCTCTTCTTCCTCCCCTCCCTTCCCCTTGGCTGGCCTTTCTTGGCCGCAGGTGATCGAGGTGGGGGCTGCTGTAGCCCCTCCGCCGACCTCCTTGCCGAGCCAGCGGGGGAGGGATGGACAGAGCTTGGGACTGACCCTGTCCTTGTTCCTTTTTTTCTGGCCCCCCAGGAAGCCAGCTTGGGATGCCATGACCCCCACCAGGTGGACGCGGAGAAGCTGGGGGCTCCTGCCCCAGAGAAGTCCTGGAAGTTCCTGGTTTTCTACCTCTGCTTCTACGGCTTCATGATTCAGATGCGGCCTGGAGAGAGCTTCATCACGCCCTACCTGCTGGGCCCGGACCAGAACTTCACCCAAGAGCAGGCAAGTGCAGGGGCGTGATGGAGGCCCCGTCCAAGGGCTTGGCCTCTGCCCCAGTGGGACTCCAGAATCACATTTATGGGCACTCCCTACAAAGCTTCTGTGTGTGTGTCTGTCTCTCTCATCCACGCTGTGTGGATCTTGTAGACGCCACATCTTGTAGGTGTGGATCCCTCCGCACCCCACCTCTTGTTGGAAGGGGAGCTCCCTGACAGGCCCTCTTTGGCACCCAGCCTGCTTAACAAATGCTTGTGGAGGGCCTGGTGAACTCTCCTCCGGATGAGGGCACAGCTGCCAGAGCCCCTTGTTCGCTATTGATTTATGGCCCAGGAGAGTCAGTCAGAGGGCTCGGGTGGGGGGTGGGAGCAGAACAGCCTCCATTCTTCGAGGGTCAGGGAGAGGTCTTGGGCTCCAACCTCAGCTCAGGGGCCTAGTTCCTAGATCACCCAGACGAATCACTGTCCCTCTCAGGATTCCATGTTCTTGCCTTTCAAGTGGAGAGGCTGGAGTAGGGGGCCTCCCAGGAGGTACCTGCCAGCGAAGGTCCCAGCCTTTCTTGGTGGGCCTCAGTTTCTCCTTCTGTCCTTTGAGGGGGTCCCTGCTGGCCCTAGGGCCTGATCCTGCATCCCTGCACACACATACCTGTGGGCAGTCAGGCAGCCAGGTAAGAGGAAGTGGGCTAATGCAGCCGCTGGGGCTCCTCAGACAGTGAGTAATAAGGGACCCCAGTGAGAATTTCTCCAAGGCTGAGCTGGAGTGGGGGGAGTGGGTCTTCCAGCTTCACCCCAGCTGCCTGAAGCCCTGAGTGAGATTTCTCCCAGCCCGTTCAGGATTCTCCTGAGCACCTTCAGACTTTGGAACCATCCCCAGCTTCGACTGATTAACTAGCCCAGGCCGAAGGAGGTTTGTGCCTATGTGCCTCTACTGTGGACATAGAGACCTGCCGCACACGCTCTCTGTGCAAAGGAGGCTGGAAGCCGGCTGCCTCTCCCTTGGGAGCCAGGCTGGTTTCTCTGCCCTCTACGAGTGGTGCAGGGGCAGTGAGGGCAGGAATGTTTGCCCTGCTGGGGCCCTGTGGGGAGCTCGGACACAAAGTACAGGCCGGGGGACACTGAATTACAGCCCCACATACCTCCTTGGCTGCCTGGTCACCCAGCAGGACGGAGCTGGGAAATTTCCCCTTTACTCAGCAAGAAAAGTGAACAGAGACATGGCTTCCAGCCTGCGCTGACACGTTGGTGTTCAAAGAAAATCCATTGCAGAGCTCAGTCTGCTCATTCCCTGCTGGCCGCTAATCTCCCTGTGATTGGACAAGTGGCAACAGACCATGGCGGAAAGAGGCCCTAATCCTGAGCCCCGGCACCTGGCTGAGAGGCCTCTTCACCCCCACCTCAGCATGTGCAACGGGGAGCTCACCACCTCATTATCTACATCTGAATCTGAGGCCTCCACTCGAGCTGCCCGGACCCCTCCTGTCTGGGCCAGATGCCCCCAGTTCCATCAGCAGCTCCTCCGTGTTCATGGCACCAGGTCCATCCCCCCATGGCCCTCCCTCCCGCTCCCCTGTGTTCTTCCCCAGTGGTGGAGGACCCAAAGGCCTAAAGATGCAGCTCCAGGTGGGGTCTGCACATGACCGAGGGCAGGGTGGCCAGACTGGACGCTCTTGCTTACTGCCAGATCTCATTAGAAATTCAGTCCATCGCACAGCGCCATTCAGACCTGGAGGTACCAGGGACCATGCTGCTGGGGCCAGGTGCCAAGACAAACCTCTATTAAGCACCTACTCTGTGGCCGCTAGGGGGCGCCATGCTGCACACAGCAGAGCCCTGGAGTGAGAGAATCCTGAGTTCAAATCCCAGTAGAGATACAAAGGAAGCCAATCAGATTGAAATAGAGGGAGCTCAGTATTTTCAAAGGCAGGCCCAGGTTCAGAACCTGCACCCTGGACAATCGGTGCCTGAGATCTCTCCAGCTCTGGAGCTCAGAAGCTATGGGGATGGTTCTCGCCTTCTCTAGGGGAACCGACACTGTGTGTCCCAGACACACTCCTACCAAGATCGCCTTGGCCTGGCCCTGAGCGCTTGCCACCATCGTGGGCATTTCTGCACCAGCCTTTCAGTTCCCAAAGCTCCTGAGAGTCCCTGCCCTTCCAGGTTGGCTCTGGCTTCCCAGAAGCAGTGCAGGCCCCAGTGCTTGGGCCCCAGGCTGTGTGTGGCTTCTGGCCTCAGCTGTCCCCTGGAGGCCAGAGGAAGGAGGCATGTAGAGAGCCTCACCAGGACTTGGTAAACACTGGCCTCACCTCCTCCCTCCTCTGCTGGCCTGGATCACTGCCTATCTCCCTGGCTGTATTCCCCACTGCTCCCCTCTTCAAAAACCTGCAGTAGCTGCCAGTGCTTCAAGTCCAGAGCCTGCTCCCCATTTTCAGAGTCCCTGGGCCCCTGCCTAAATATCCACCCACTCTGCAGCAGGGTCGGGCCCATCCCTGTCCTGCCGAGTCTTCTCTCTCTCCCAGCCTCATGGTGGGGGGTAGGGGAGGCAGGGAGGGAGTCTGTTGGCCTTGGGGTCCATCTTGCAGCTGCTGTGGCTTCCAGGCTTGAGTGCCTTCCTCCCCAGCAGACCCTTAGCTCGTTGGCAGGTGACCAAAGCACCTTGAGCACCCGCAGCCTGGGCCAGGTGAGCAGGGGCAGGCCCAGGCTGCCGGGGCCCACCTCCCCCTCTGCCTCTCCAGGCTCCCCCTGGCATTGCTCAGGCCAGGACCCAGCGACTCAGCCTCATGGAGAGAAGGGTTTTTACAGTAGAGGTGCCCATGTGACCTCAACGGTCATCTGCTGAGGGGTCCAGAGCCTTTACAAAGAAGATGGATTTGGGGGGAGGGTTCAGAAGCCCTGAGTTCAGCCTCAGATACTTCCCAGCTCGGCGACCCTGGGCAGGTCCCCTGGGCTTCAGTTTCCTTATCTGTAAAACAAATGGTAGGATTACCGCATCGAATGAGGTAGGATTTATAAAGCACCTTGCAAATGCTATTAGTATTGTTACAGTTATTCCTGAAGAGACCTGCCCTCTTACCAGCACACCCGAAGTGCCTTCCAAAGGGCAGGGCCGTCATTGGCAGGCCCAGCCAGTGCCCTCCCCCTGGCAGGCCTGGGTTTTCCTGGGGCCTCTGACTCCAGTCAGTGAGAAGGGAGCTAGGGTGTGAGGCACAGGTGGCCCCTTTGCCTGAGCAGGAGCTCATTCCCTGGCCTTTGTGAAAGCTACGCAGGGGGTCGGCCGGCACCCTGGCCAGGGCAGACTCCTTCCTGGGCATTGTCTCCATGGCAGCCAGCCTAGGCCTCTCTTTCCCCAGCCTGCCCCTCCCCGCAGCTCTTTGTACAACTGCCAAGTGTGACGAAGGTCACTGCCTTGGGTTTCTACAGCCTGCATGCCCAGTTGGCCCACAGCAAGTGGGGGGTCTTTCCCTGGACACTCACTCATGACCTTTGCCTCCTTCCTGCTTGCTTCCCTTTGTGAAATGGACACACACAGGACCTTTGGACTCCAGAGATAAGCCACAGCCCTTAAGCCTGCACAGGACAACTCCCCAGACGTCATCCGCGTGACTTGAGGCCGGGGCTTACTCACTGCCCTGACTTATCCCCATTGACCATTGACAGAGAAGGCAGAAAGGGAGGGAAGGCCCACTGAATGTTGGAGGGCCCAGGAGAACCCTGGTCTTCCTTCTGCCCCTGGGAGGCCTGCTCTTCTGCAGCAGCCACTCCTTGACCTCCATGTCCGCCAGGGGGTCTGCCCACTTTTCCCGACCCAACCCTGCAGATTGTGCTGCCCGCCCAGGTCAGAAGGACTGAGCGGGATATACTGGTTGTGAAGCCGGGTCCTTTGTGACCTCTCTGCCCGCAGGCTGCTGCTTGTGACATGAAGGGTACTGCTGGTCTGGATGCTGCCCCTGGGGCCCTCACAACCAACACGTCTTTGGTTTGTTCTGCTTGGTGTGGACACCTTTGGCTTGTTATGTCATCCCAATCCAGGGAGCCCTCCCTCTTAATGAAGGATGAGAGGGAGAGAGGGCATGAGAACAGTAAAGTGAGACTAGTCATCCCATCTCTGGGTCTGACCACATACGCAGTATTCCACACCCCTTGTCCTCTGCTTCTGCAAAGAGGAGTTGATGGCAAGTACCCTAGGACCCCAGCTTCATCCTCCCCCACAGAACTGAGGGTGGTGACTGGGGAGGGTCTCAGGAGCTCCCAAGAGGATCCCTTGGCCACCTCATTCCCTCCCTCCTCACCTCCTCCGACTGCAGGAAGCCCGAGGAGCCTGCCAAAGCCCCAGGGCTCAGAGACAAAGAGGCCTGTTTGTGCTGCCTGGCCTGGCCTGGCCTGGCTTTTCTTAAGAAGAGCTGATCTCCAGGAGCAAAGTGCCCAGAGCCCTTGGCTACTGCCAGACAGAGGACTGGAAGAGAGGAAGGCCAGGGGAAGATCACCCTGCGCGTGCCTTGATTTTAGAGCATCAGAAGCGTTGGCCCAAACTGGTCTCTGGCCTGCCATGAATGTGGCAGCGCGAGGCTCAGCCCCCATGGAGGACAGCACCCCTGAGTGTCTGGACAAGAACAACAGAGGGGTAGAGGCCTGGGGCGGGTCCATGGCCATCTAAGAAGCCCTGTGCCTAGCTGGGTAGGGCTGTTGCAGGCTCAGGTGCTCATGTGCCCGTGGTTGCCATCTTGGCTTGGCCCCTCAGTACCAAGAATCCCGAGTGGGCTATTATAGGCTCAGGCCCCTTGGCCCATGGTTGCCATCTTGGCTTGGCCCCTCAGTACCAAGAATCCCGAGTGGGCTGTTACAGGCTCAGGCACCTGTGCCTGTAGTCACCAACTTGGCTTCTCTTCCAGGTCACCAATGAGATGACGCCCGTCCTGACCTACTCATACATGGCGGTCCTGGTGCCCATCTTCCTGCTCACGGACTACCTGCGCTATAAGCCAGTGCTGGTCCTGCAGAGCCTGAGTTACCTGTCCGTGTGGGTGCTGCTGATCTTTGGCACCAACGTCCTGTCCATGCAGTTCATGGAGTTCTTCTTCGGCGTCACCATGGCGGCCCGGGTGGCATATTCCTCCTACATCTTCCTCCTCGTCAGCCCCTCCCGCTACCAGCGGATGGCGAGCTACTCACGCACGTCCGTGCTCCTGGGCGTCTTCACCAGCTCCGTGCTGGGGCAGATCTGTGTCACTGTGGGCAAGGTCCCCTTCGTCACCCTGCACTACATCTCCCTGGGCTTCATAGTCTTTGGGCTGGTCCTGGCGCTCTTCCTGAAGCGGCCCCGGCGAAGTCTCTTCTTCAACCGCCCCCGCGAGCCTGTGTGCAATGGAGCTTCGCCCTCAGAACTGGACCAGATGAACCCGGGCGGGGCAAAGCGCCCAGAGGGCGAGCCCAGGTGGCGGTTCCTGGCCGTCTGCAGGGACTCGACGCTGGTGCGGATGCTGCTGGAGCTGGTGGACATCGTCCGTGTGCCGCAGCTGCGCCTGTGGTCCCTCTGGTGGGTGTTCAACTTCACCGGATACTATCTCATCCTCTATTACGTCCATATTTTGTGGAATGAGGTGAACCCCACCCCGGACAGCTCCAAGGTCTACAATGGGGGCGTGGATGCCGCTTCGACTTTGCTGGGTACAAGCCCGTTTTCCGTTGGTCCCACCCCTCCCCCATGGTGCCCAGGAGGCGCCAGCCCTGAGTAACCTGTCCTATCTCCCCAGGGGCTCTCACCTCCCTTGCGGCGGGCTTTGTGAAGATCCGCTGGGCAGTGTGGTCAGAGCTGGTGATCGGGGCCATCACTGTCCTGCAGGCCGGGCTCATCTTGCTCATGTACACCACCAGCAGCATCTGGGTGTGCTATGTGTCTCTGGTGCTGTTCAGGGGCTTGCATCAGTTCCTGGTGCCCATCGCCACGTAAGTCTCCACACGGGGTCACCTGGCAGAGCCATGGTTAGGACGGGTGGCCTGGTGGGCTCTGGGTGGGGAGCACCCTGGGGCCAGACCCCAGAGAGAGATCCAGAAGCAAGGTAGGATAGAAGGAGCCCAGGCACTAGAGTCAGAGGCCCTGGGTTCTGACTGAACCTGGTGCTCACTCACCACTGGCCCTGTGGCCTTGGGTAAGGCTTTGCTTCCCTTAAGCAATCTCCTTATCTGTAAAATGGGCCTCTGGAGGCCCTTGGAGCTCGGATCCTGTGACCTGGTGATCGCTTGGAGCATCCCCGGGGCGTGGAGCGGGAGGAGGGATTAGCACTGCCAGGAGGCCTGGACCAGAGGCTGCAGCTGCAGGGGGTGGCCAGAGACCCTCCCAGGCCCCAAAGCTGGGCTGGGACCCTCTGCTCCCTGGCTAGAGCTTGTCCCAGGCGCCTCTTGTCTCCCAGGAGGCTGAGGTCAGCAGAGCTGCCTGGGGTCATCCCCCCCTCTCCAGTCCCAGAGGGCCCTTCTTTGGCTGGCCTGCCCACGCCCGGCTGGCTCACTTGGTGCAGACAGTGGTGCTTGGGAGGCCAAGGTCGCTGCTTTCCATGCTTACTCGTAGCCCCTGACCTCTTGTGGATGGGTGTCTGGCCTCTGCCTGCCCTAAGTCACTGGGACGATGGGTCCATGCATGAGGACAGTGCAGAGCCAGCCGTCTGCCCTGCAGGAGTTCAGCCCCATCTTTCCTTCCTGCCTCCTGGTCTCTGGCACCATCTTTGTCAATGGCAGTCACGAGAAGAAAGAGGCTTTTTGAGTCGTGCCCAGGGTTCGGAAGGCGTCTCAGGGAAGTCCTGGGAGGGTCTCCGCTTCCTTTTCTGGAGACGCCCTCCAGCTCCTGTGCCAGGCCTCCTGATGCAGAGGCAGGGCATTCGCATGCCTCCTTCATGCCCTGACAGAACAGAGCGGGCCCCAGGACACAGGCCAGGTGTCCGTCCCAGAGGTCAGCGGCAGAGCTCCAGGGCTGATTGTCCTCCCATGCGGCCTCCCGCTGTCACTGGTCTCTGAGAATCACGGCTCATGTTTCTAGAGGGCTTGTGGAGAGGTTTGCCTGGCCAGTCATAGGCCTTACCTTGCGTGATCCTAGGAGGAAGGGGCCTGTGGGTATTGCTCTTGTCTCCATTGTATAGATAGTGAAGCTGAGGTCCATCCAGGGCAGGTGACTTGCCCGAGGCCACTCAGCTATTTGCCGTTACAAAGAGGCTTCCCCTAACTGGCCATTTGGTCATTACATCTCTCTGATCACCCCCCATTTCACTGGAGGGGAAACTGAGCCTCAGCGAGAGAACGTGTCTTGTTTGAGGTTACTAAGCCCCCAAGACTATGTGTCCAAGGCACTCTGACCACAAGCCTGGCACTGCCCACGATGTCACCTCTTGGTTGGTAGCGGGTGGCAGAGTGGGGAGTGCCCCAGGGCTCGTGTCGCCTCTGCAGCCTGGTAAGACTGAACTGAGGCTCATACACCCATCTCGCTTTGAGACTTACAAAGCACTCCCTTTGCCACAGGCCTTTGGGAGGAGACTCAGCCTGGCCTGGTAGGTAAAGGGCAGGCCTCCGAGTGAATGAGACCCGGGTTCAAATCCTGCCTCTGACACACTTTCTGTATGACCCTAGGTAGCTCTCTGTGACTATAAACCACAGATGAGCTGCTGATTTGCACTAGCAAAGAGACTTTAACCCCTGGGAGTTCTTCACGGGTGGGATCAGCTTCACCACCCCCCACCACAATGTCAGCAGCATGAGAACTAGTCTCCCGTTTTGTAAAAGCAGGCCTTAGGTTGAGTGACTGTTCCAGGGCGTCCCAGCCAGTAAGTGTCAAAGCAGAGACTTGACCCAGTGGCTCCTGAGCCCAGCCCAGGCCCCCTCAGGGAGTCCCGCGTTTTGTGCAGTTCAGGCTCCCACCCTTGACCCGGGCACGGAGTGTAGGGCTCTCCTGGCTTTCAGATTAATGGCTGCTGTCTTTCTGCCAAGTTTCCAGATCGCCTCGTCCCTGACCAAGGAGCTATGTGCCCTGGTGTTTGGGGTCAACACCTTCTTTGCGACCGTCCTGAAGACCATCGTGATCGTCATTGTGGTGGATAAGAGGGGCCTCGGGCTCCCCGTCCGCTCCCAGGTACGCGATCCCCAGCGTTTCTGCAGTGCTTACTGTGTGCCAGCTGCTGTCTGAGTGTTTACAAATCTGACCTCATTTGGTGGTCACGGTGACACGGGAGGAGAAAGCGGTGCTGTTGTCACCCCCACTTTACAGATGAGGAGACTGAGGCAGGCCGAGGTGAAGTGACTTGTCCAGAGTCACACAAGCTGTAAAGTGTCAGGGGCCAGGTTTGAACTCAGGTCTTCCTGACTCTGGACCTGGCACACTAACCACTGCACCACTGAGCTGTCCCTAGTAAACAAGCTCTCTGACTTTTTTTTTTATAAAAAATTTCATTAATTTATTTTGATTTATCAACAATCACTTCCATATGCTTTTGAGTTGAAAATTTTTCTCCCCCTTCCTCCCCCCCACCATCCCCACAACGGCGCATGATCTGATATAGGCTTTACACTTACGTACCCATGAAACATATTTTCACATTAGTGAAGTTGTAAGTAAAAATCAAAACCAATCGGAGGAACCATCAGAAAGAGGAAACAAAACTCAACAGAAGGTAAAAATAAGTGATAGCGATTCGACTTCCATAGTTCTGTCTTTGGATGTGGACAGCATTTTCCATCCCGAGGCCTCTGGAGATGTCTTAGATCCTTGTAATGCTGAGAAGGCTTCACAAACTCTCTGACTTTTAAAGCCCTTCAGAAGCTGGTCCCTACCTGTCTTTTCTTCCTTCGCCCACGTTGCCTCCCTTCCTGCACACTACAGTCTAGCCAAACTGGCCTGCCCTCCATTGCTTGTGCACAACCCTCGTTTCCCATCGCCATGCCTTTGTACTGGTCAGCCCCATACCCACGGAGCATGCTGTTCTCATCTCTACCTCCAAAGTGCCTCAGTTCCTTCTTGACGTAGCTCAGGCACTGCCTCGTGCATGAAGCCTTCCTAACCGGCCTCTCTCCCTGACTGCCTCACTTTTGTGTGGGAGTCTGTGTGGGCATAGTGTGATGCCAGCATGACACCCACCTTCCCGCTTCTCTCTGTCTTGCCTGACTCACTGCAGACTGTGCTTGCACTACCAAGGCAGGGCATTTTCCTGGATAGGGTGGGGGATGGGAGAGACAGCCATAGCCACTACACCAGCTTGCTCTCGGGCCCCTAATGGTAACCTTGGTGTGGAAGAAATATAAGCATACACTGAAAAGCCCCCACTAGGGTGCCTCCTATTCACACAAAGCAGTGATAATGATGCTAGTAACTCTTAAGCGTGAAACATTTACTAAATTAGAAGATGAGAATCATAGCAGTTACTAAATAAAGGACAAAAGTAGGACTTCTTAAAACAGAACAGTCCCCCTCCATAAATCGAGATTGCACTCTCCCATCGATGAAGTATCTGTGGTAGGGAGAGTGGGCACAAACTTGCAAAAACCCATCAGGAAGGCACATATGTGTTGGAACCCCCGTGCCTGGGTTACAACTCACGCCTAGACTGTAGGTCTAGACGTATGTAGTCTATTTAGGAAATAGTTTGCTCCCCATTTCAGTTTCTTAGTGAGACAATCCTGAGAAGCCACTTTAGTCCCTGACTGGACAGGGCTGCTTCTCTGCCATGGAAGTAACGTTAGACAAACAGCAACTTTAAGTCTGGCATCAGCCGACTTCCCAGGCCTGCTCCTGTGACTGGGTGGGGAGGCAGCCTGACCCTTGGTGACAAGCCCTTAGGCAAAGTTCTTCAGGATTGCCCTGAGGGAGTCTGCAGGGGTTCTCCCCTTCCTCCCTAAAGGAAGCAAAAGGCATCACTGGTAAGCCTTTGATGGTCTGACTTGGAGCTGTGGGTGGCACCAGAGAGCAAAGCAGTCTTTGCCAGCCAGTCCCTCCCTGCACCCGCCGGAGCCTGTGTGTTTGCATGTCCCTCTAGTGACCTATACTCAGCTCCTGGCTGCTTTCTGACTGTTGATTTTTGACGCCTTAGCTTCTCAGGCTGGCTTCTTATGTCTTATGCCAGGGCTTCCTCTTATGTTGTGACTCGCCTCCATCTTGGATTGAGAAACTCAAAATTCACGTTTTTTGGCGGATGGGACGCAAGGAGTTAGTAGACCACCATTCCCTAGTCCCCGAACAGTGCTTAGATTTAGAGTTTCCAAACAATAAACTTCTAAGTGTAAACAGTCACGTAAATTATTTGTTGCCGCAGCCGCCTGGACAGTCCTCGAGTGCCTTGCTCCTGAGAGGCGGCCTTTCGCTCTTGGCCTCCCCAAACTCTGCACCTTTCCCAAGCATTTCTTTCAGAGGGGCAGCTCCTCTTGGAGGTTCTTGGAATTCTGTTTTTTTCTTTGTTTCTCCCAAATGCTGCTTTTTCTGTGTTTCTCTTTCCTTTATGGGAAGTAAAATCTCCGTTCGGGAAGGGAGAAGCGTCTCCTCGTCCATATCTGTCCAGCACTCATCGGCTCCGCCGCTCCCGGAGGGTAGGGATTGTTTCATTCCTTGTCTCTGGATCCCCCGCACCTAACACAGTCTCTGGCACACAGCAGGCGCCTGATAAATGCTCGTTCCGTGATTGATGACTGACTGATTAAAGAACAGAACTGGATTCATGCTCACCGCCCGCCCTTCTCTTCTAGTTCCGAGTCTACTTTGGCTATTTCACAGTGCTGGCCGTGGCCTACTTTTCGGGGGCCGCATACACGGCGGTGAGGCACTGTCGGCAGAGCAGGCTCCAGAACGTCCCCGTGGCGAAGGAGCTGAGGAGCCCCATGGAGATGTTGGAGAAGACGCCGAGCCCCGAGGATGATGGCATCGCTGGCGTCCACGCCTGATTGGAGACGCCGGTGGGCGGAAGGGCAATCATACATGCTCGCGCCAGCTCGGCCCCGGGTGGGCGCAAAGCTCCCCCCACCCACCTTACTGGCCCTCCCCCCCTGCATCTGTGGGAAGCAGTTCCAGAGGCTCTGCTGTGGCCTTGTCTCTTCTGCCACGTCCGACACTGACTGTACTCTTTAGCTGGGTTGAGGTTCATGGTATGAGCACCTTGGGAAACCAAGGCTGGGAGCATGACTGCGTTAGGCTGGGCGCGTCACTGCTCGTGATCTTATCTTGGTACAGTCCTGTCAAACCCGGGAGAACCTATTTTCCTCAATTTGATTAAGAAATAGTTCTTGCCCAGACCATGAAATGGTGCCATCCAAAGCCTCAGCCAGCTGGCTCCGTTAACCTGGATGCCATATTGAGAACCAGCTGAATCAGGTGCTCAAGGTATTACCTTGACCTTTGGCAGGGCAGCCAAGCCAAGCGTGAGACAATCACAGAGAGCACTAGGATCCCCCGCCACGTTCACACACTCTCACACTCACTCTCATCTACACACACACACTCTCACATGTTCACACACACTCACACTCATCTACACATACACTCTCACACTCACTGTCATCTGCACACTCTCATCTACACACACACTCTCACATGTTCGCACACACTCACACTCATCTACACACTCACTCATCTACACACTCTCACATATTCGCACACACTCACACTCATCTACACATACACTCTCACACTCACTGTCATCTGCACACTCTCATCTACACACACACACTCTCACATGTTCGCACACACTCACACTCATCTACACACTCACTCATCTACACACTCTCACATATTCGCACACACTCACACTCATCTACACATACACACTCACACGTTCACACACACTCATCTACATATACACACACACTCATCTACACACACATTCTCATACACACGTTCACACACATACTCCTCTCCACACACGTTCACACACACACTCATCTACACATACACACACTCACACACATTTACATACAGTCATCTAAACACACATTCATATACTCATCTACACGCATGTTCACACACACTTATCTACACACACAGACATTCACACACACTCACTCTGCACACACACGCTCACACACTCACACTCATCTACGCATACGCTCACACTCACACACGCCCCCAGTTTGCTCACTGAATACCTTGGACATGATTGTTCCCCAGATGGGGAACTCTTCTCACCCCCTTACACCCAAAAAGCATTTCCCATAAATAGCAGCGACCCTTCAGAAATGCTGCATTCCACCCGCCTCCCCGCTTGCTTTCGCCAGGCCACCTGGCTTGCTGTGTCCTCCACCCCCTGCTTGGCGGCCCTAGAAGGCCCCTGGTCAGCCATGGGCTTCCTAGAAGCCGCTTCAGACTCGAAGCGCATCCTCAACTCCCCCCAGCATGCCCAGTGCTGGTGAGGACATCGCTCCTCTCTTATCCAGTGGCTGGTGTGGGGGCACCACTGCTTCACCCTGGCCCCTGTTTGCCCCTGCCCCCTCCCCACCGCAGCTTTGCTTCCAGGGATCCAGTGTGGCCCGCAATGTGATGGTGAGTGGAGATTACTGGCCCTGCTGTGTAGACAGGGGTCTGCCAGGAGCAGGGAGCAGGACAGTCTAGGTCTTTGTCATTAATGAGCCTTCCCGCTATGTGTCTAAGCTGGAGGTCACAGCCACAGAAGGTACCCGGGTCCTGCCATCCACCCAGAGCTTTTGTCCATGTCCATCCCCTGGACAGATGGCTGCCCTAGGCCCATTTCCACTTCCCTTCCTGCTGAGGCACGCTGGACCAGCTGTCGGTCAGCCAGTTGGGGAAGCTCAGATGCTCCCTGAAACTACTCAGGCCTTCAGGAAAACTGGGAAACCTCCAGCCGCTTGTCCTGAAGCAGGGCTGTGTTTTTGCTGCTGAGACCTTCTGACCCATGAGGCTGTGCCTTGGTTCCCTCTGGCCAAAGAGCCAGCCGTGTGGTCCTGTGGTCCCGGCTTCCTTGTGGCCATTTCCTTCACTGACATCCTGATGGATGTTGGGCTGGTCAAGTCACCTCCTGGAGCCTCAGTCTCCCCATTTCTAAAATGGTTAATATTGACCTACCTCACAGAATTGTTTGGAAGGTAAAGGAGAGCAGCTGAAAGAGGCCTTGGTTGAGGCTCTGGGAAGAAGGGGCATGTCTACATGGCCATCACCCAAGAGTATTGTCTCCCTTCATCCCACAGGATCGGGAAGAGTCCAGGACTGGAGTCAGACCTGTGTCTGGATCCTGGCTCTGCCACTGTTTCTCTGGGTGCCTCAGTTTCCCATTCCACAGAAAAGGAGGAGTCAGACTAGCTGACCTCTATGGGCCCCACCTGCCCTGTCACAGTGGCCCTCCAAAGCTTAGGTGGCAGTAGATACAAGAAACCTGGCTGATTCTGAGCTGAGAAGTGCTGGGCCCCTCCCCACCACCACGTTCCCGCCACTCCCATCTCCCACTCAGAGGAGGGCCCTCTTCTGAAACACCTCTAGGTGAGGAAGTGCTTTGTTTGAAATGTGTTCTTTGGTTGAAAATTGTAAAACGACCCTTTTTCATTCTAGATTATCTATTCAATTTTATGATGTAAGAGGACTTCTTTTGTGTAATAAACCAGTTCATACACAGGAATGAGTGCTGCCTGCTCCTTTGCTCCGGGCCCCCAACCCTGTGAGTGTGGTCTGTGGGAAGGGCTGGAGGGAGAGGGAAGATGGGGCAAGGAGCCCCCCAGGGATGAAATTCTGAAGGTGCAAAGAGCCACAATTCCTACTGGGAAATGGAGTGGTTGTCTAAAGAGACTGGTGTGGATACGGTCTTTTAATGTAGATGCTGCAAGGTCCTGTGTAATCCTGACTGTGGTTCAATGATATTTAAATCATTTCTTTCTGGCTGCTTGCAGTATTTTCTCTTTGACCTGGTAATTTTGGAATTTGCCTACTATATTCCTTGGTATTTTCAATTTGAGATTTCTTTCAGGAGGTGATCAGTGGATTCTTTCTACGGCTGTTTTACCCTCTGCTTCAAGGACCTCAGGGCAGTTTTCCTTTATGATTTCCTGAAGGATACTGTCCAGGCTCTTTTTCTCATCGTGATTTTCAGGTAGACCAATAATTTTTAAATTGTCTCTCCAGGATCAGTTTTCCAGGTCAGTTGTTTTACCAATGAGGTATTTTACATTTTCGTCTGTTTTTTCATTCTTTCGTTTTTGTTTGACTGATTCTTGCTCTCTCCGAGAGTCATTAGCTTCCATTTGCCCAGTTCTAATTTTTAACAAATTGTTTTCTTCTATTAGATTTTGTACCTCCTTCCCCATTTGGCCAATTGTATTTTTTAGGACTTGTTTTCTACAGTTAATTTTTGTCTTTCCTTTTCCAAGCTATTGACTCTTTCTTGCATACCTCTCATTTCTTTTCCCGTTTTTTCTTCTCTCTCTCTGATTTGACTTTTAAGATCCTTCTTGAGCTCTTCTAAGAAGGCTTTTTGGGCTTCAGACCAGCTCATATTCACTTTTGAGGTTCCAGATGTGGGTTTGTTGTCCTCTTCAGAATTTCTGCCTTGATCTTCACTCTTCCCGTAATAAGAATCTACCATACTTTCTTTTTGCTCTTGGTGTTTGCTTATTTCCTGGCCTCTAAAGAGATTGAGCTCTCCTGCTGGGGAGCAGAGGGCACTGACCCAAGCTTCTTGTGTCGGGAGCCTAGGGCCTGGTCACTGGCTTTGTGTGCTGGGGCCTCCAGTGTTGGCAGTCGGAGGCTGTAGGGTTCTGGCAGCTCACCTGGTGTGGGGCTGGAATCAGCAAGACTGGAACTCTAGGGGTAGGATTGAGTAGTGTGGCTCCTGGAGATTTCCTGCTCACCCCTGCCTTTCTTCCCTTTGGTAGCCTTAAGCAGAGATGTCAGACTCAAGGAGCTCTGCCTGAACCAGATCACAATGGAATCAGGAAATGTTGAATAAAACAAATAAATGCACAATGCAATGTAACGTTCTTCTTTGGTTTTCTAAGTCAAACACTCTTGTTTGAGTTTGTCTCCACTAACGGATGCACGGGGAAAAGAAAAGGAGGCTGGGCTAGGAGAAAGGAGGGAGTGTATGGAAGAGGCATCACGGGAGTGGAGCAGTTGCAAACTGGTTGGGTTGGGGGGGCTGGAGGTAAGGGAGAGGGCAGTCAGGTACCCTAGAACCCTGTGAACCCGGGTGACTGGCAGGATGGTGGAAGGTAGAATCAGGGTGGGTTTGAGTGGCAGCAGAATGAAATGCTTTAGGGGTCACGTTTGAGGTGCCTGTGGAACAACCAAGTAGAGATGTCCAACATGGAACTGGAGCTCAAGAGAGAGATTATCCCTGGAGATAGAGATTGGGGCATCACCTGGATAGAGACAACTGATTAATGGGACATTTTGAGGTCACTGATGAAGAGTGGAGAGAGAACGGAACCCAGGCCAGGGCCTAGAGGATGGGCCAAGGGACCGGATGGCCGATGGGCAGGCAGTCAGGGCGCAGACCGGTAGAGAGCTGTGGCCGGGAGGGAAGGGTAAGGGGGAGGGAGTGAGCATTTGTTAGGCGCTGTGTACCAGCCGTGTGCTGAGCATTCTACAAATCCGACCTCATGTGTGATCCTCACAGCCCTAGGAGGGAGGTGCTGATATCATCCCCATTTTACAATTGAGGAAGAGGAAGGGAAGGAGAGAGAGAAGGAGGGAGGGAGGGAGGGAGGGAGGGAAGTGGCCAAGAGCATTTTAAGTTGCAGAGAGGTTAAGATGGTAGAGGCTTGAGAAGAAACATAGGTGACGTGAGCGGCTGTTTATCTTGGAGGGAGCTACGTTTTAGGAGTCAGTTTGCAAGGGACTGAGAGGGGCCTGGAGGGGTGGGGACAGAGGAGGGAGGGGGCAGGCTGCTCTTTTCCAAGAGTTTTTTCTTGGACTCTGGACCTTGGAGGCCCGTCAGGGTTCAAGCAGATGTTCTCTTAAGAATTGGCCTGTTTGTAGAGGAGGGGGCGAACCAGAGCATTAGGAGACATTGAAGATGAGGGGGAAGGCTGGAAGGGGAAACTTTCTGGGAGGGATGGGGGGATGGGCTGGAGGACTTGGCCTCGACAAGGAGGAGCAGAGGCTTTATGGGGGGGAGCAGTAAAGGGGAAGTTCTCTAATGAGATAGAGAGAGGGGGGAGGGGAGGTTCCAAATAAGCCTGGAAACCGGGGCTACTGTTTTCATCAGCTGAAGTGACTAGGTCATTCAGCCTAGAGAATGGAGGATTCTGGTGGGATCATGCCAGCTGCCAACCGTGTGTTGGCATCTCCAGCCTAGACAGACCTCAGCAGCACCCCCCTGCCCCGTGACCTCACAGCCCAGTGGCCATCTAAATTCTGTCTGAAAACAGGACAAGGCGGGGGCCAGCCTGCCTTAGAAGGTTGGTGGACTAGGTCAAAGCAAGGGCAGGGGGTGAAAGCTGCCCTGAGGCAAACTTGGGCTGCCTGTCCTGAAACACTCCCAAGCAGGGAGAGGGGGGCTCCCCCTCACCGGCACTGGGCGGAGATGATGTAGATGTAGATGTAGATGGTCCACTGAGATCCTTTCCAGCCGGAAGCTTCTGCAGCCACAAGGCAGCCCCGGTAAAGCCTGCTCCCAATACTGGCTGGCCGATAAGTAAAGGCGCGGTAGAAATACACGCCAGCCCATAAAAGGGGATATTTTCCTTTATTCAGTGCCTTTAAGAAAACAGGTGCTAGCCCACAACACACACGCACGTGCGGGCACACACACACACACACACACACACACACACACACACACACACACGTGCGCACCCCTCTGCAGGCTTCAGTGGCATCCCTTAGACATTGGACTGCAGACGTGAAAACAAGAGGCACGAGGCTGTTTTCTTGAGTCTTTACAGAAACCCCAACACAGTAACAAGAAGTGAGGGAGAACCCAGGTGCCTCGCGCCCCCATTCCCTGGCTCTTGGTACACACTTTGCCCAGGACAGAAGCAGCAGAGGAGGGGGGCCACAATCAGGGGCCTCAGAAGGGACCTCGCATGACCTAGTAACCCACTGAAACACGTGCTGACCTCAGCCAAACCCGGACTTGGTTTGCCTTCCCCAGGGGCTCATTTACACTCCCATTTAGCAGTTGGGTTCCCAGATCGCACGCCCTCTGCCGGCTCCTCCTGGGGCAGAGCAAAGGATTTTTATGCCAAATGGTTTTCCTGTTTCTTTGTTATTTGCATTTCTTCTTGCCTGGGACAGGTGCCAGGCTGTGAATTGCTCCTTCCCCCAACACCACACACAGGTCCTAGGCCCAGGCCCTCCCGGTCAATCTTAGTGGGAGACTTTCCCATCTGCCCAGATGCAAATTGACACCTGTCCTTTTGCTCCCGAATGCTTGATGACCATAGCCCCTAGAATGAACCATCTGGGTCATAGGCACTGTCCCTCTGGGGGCCACCCGCCCTCATCCTTAGTCTCCCTTAAAAACAATGAAGCCAAGCACTACTCACAAAGCAAAAGGCCACACGGTGAGATTTGCATTGCAAGTTTTCCCTCCAGCCAGAGAGCAGGGAAGGTAGAGACCACGCTACCCTGAGTCCCGGGTAAAGCAGGGGCATCTGGATAAAGGAGCAGCACAGTTTTCTTCAGCTGTCCTCGTGGGCTTTGGGGGATCAGTAGCACTGAGTCCACACCAGGACTCTCCAGGAGAGGAGACCCTGGCCCAGAATGGTCGGGGGGGTGGAGCAGCAGAAGGATCTGTGTCTGGCTCCTGACAGCAGCTCAGCCTTCCCAGCAGGGCCAGCCGACCTGGGCACTCAGGGCGTGGTGAAGAGGTCAGGACTCCCCTCCCAAGTGGGGAAGGGGGACAGGGCACATCCCAAAGAGGCCGCTGGCTTTTCAGCAGAAGCCCACGTGGGCAGAGGCCAGAGTGCAGGGAGGTGGCCAGCCGCCAGGGAGGAGGCTTCCAGAAGACCCCCAGCCCCCCCAGAGCTGCAGGGAGCACCAGAAGCCCAGTCCAGCCCTTGGGGAACAGGGTTTAGAAACCAGCTCAAGCCAGAGCAGTGTGTGCCAGGCAAGGCAGCAGCTTGCATTCTTCTCTGGGGATCACAGCTCACTGCACGCTTTGGTGCCCACAAGGCAGGCATGGCAGCTGGCGTCCCCTGCCCCTTTCTAATCACTGGGCCTAACAGCTTTCCTTCCAAACAAACCAGCAAACCACGTCCCACACTGGGAGCTTCTGGGCTACTGAAAGTGACCTGGCCAGGACCTGTGCCTGACATGGCTCTTGGCATGCTCTGATGCTTCCCTACATGCATGCCCACATGCTCAGAGGCACCTGCCAGGGAGAGAAGGCTGGGACCACTGGTGCTGAACCTCATACTTCAAGGGGGTCCCCAAAGCTACCCCCAGGGCTTGCTACCCTGCTGCTTGCTCAAAGATCCTCCTGGCACCATGGGCGAGTTCTTCACCTGGCTCAGCTTCCCCATCTATGAAATGGAGACATTGCTGCTTATGCTATCTAACTCTCTGGGCCTCTGTAGGGGAGGAGAGTCCTCTACAAACTTTGGTGGCCCTCAGCATTGCTTGTGGGATGAAGGCGACTTTGGATTGAGCAAAAAGAAGCATAGCTAAGGTCCTAATATGGCATGCATGCACAGCTCTGCTCATACCCTATGTGTCTGGGCAGGACAAGGAGAGCCCTGGGGTCTGCCATCACAGGGACCTGGGGGCATCTGGAGGAGAGTGCTGCCCACCTCCCTGGCAATGCTTCTTGGACCCAAGGCTCAGGGGGCAGGTGTGGGCATAGATGGAGGTCCCCACCCCCCATCCTCCCTCTGCAGGGGAGTGCTACACCATCAAGAGCTCTGGGAGGTGCCTGCCAGAGAGATTATGATTCCCTCACCTATATTAAGGCACTGAGAGGGAGGAGAGAGGAAGGGAAGGGGTGGGGGAGAGATGATAGATAGATATAGATAGATAGATAGATAGATAGATAGATAGATAGATAGATAGATAGACGGACGGACAGACAGACAGACAGCAGACAGATAGATACAGAGAGACAGACAGAGACAGAGACAGAGAGAGATACAGAGAGAGATAGTATATGTGTGTGTAAGAGAAAGAGAAAAAGGGAGAGGGAGACAGAGACATAGAGAGAGAGAAAGAGAGAGAGGGAGACAGAGATAGAGACAGAGAGAAAGAGACAGAGACAGAGAGATAGTATATGTGTGTGTAAGAGAAAGAGAAAGGGAGAGGGAGACAGAGAGAAAGAGACAAAGAGACAGGGAGAGAGACAGAGAGGAAGGAGGAGGAGGAGAGGTAAGGAGCAGCTTTCACTGAGGTCTAGGAAGACCCCTTCCCTCTGCCTCAGCAAAGCCCTTGGTGGTCATGACTAGGGTTCTGGTGGGAAAGGGGAGCCAGACAAGGGGGCTGCACCCCTGCGTGCCCAGGTGCTCAGCACTGTGCAGTCCGCCAAGAAGGGTCCCCAGTGCTCCCAGGGCACAGAAGGGCAGACAGAGCCGGCCATGCGGTGTTCAGCCCTAGCCCGGCCCAGCAGAGCAGCCTGTGTCTGGGGCATGGAGCTGGGGCAGGAGCCTGAGGAGGCCAGTGGGGAGAAGCTGGAGGGAGAAAGGTGGTGCCCGTGGGACCAGGCTTCCTGTTTTACACGTTTTAAAAATACACTCTTTGGCTTCTTTTTATTTCTTCAGCGATTACATGAAAGTTGGGGCCGCGCTGGCCGTGGGCTGGCTGGGCCAGAGCCAGTCGGGGCTGGCCCCTCAGGCCCCTCTGGCCCCTTGGGCCTGGGGAGCCGGGACTGCCAGTCATTCCTGGAACCTGTCCCTGTCCCCCGCATGTCCGTCAGTCACCCCCAGTGGGCAGGGACGGGCTCCTACTTCTTGGAGGAGGAGGTCATGAAGCTGTTCTCGATGCAGAGGACAATGAAGCTGTTTCGGCAGCTCACAGCCTTCTGCTCGAGCAGTTTGCCCGAGAACAGGGAGGACGCCTGGCCGGTGGCGGCCCCTTCGTCTGTCCGCCAGGTCTCACAGTAGCTCTCTGTCAGCCGGCGTCCCTTGGCATCGGATCCATGCCACACGCTCTTCTGCGGCCTACGAGATGCACAGAGATGCCAGTGTGCCCTCAGCGCCCCGGCTCCCCCAGCTACCCTCTGAGGTCCCCACTTGAAGATCTCAGAGAAAGGGAGGGAAATAGGAGGGGGGAGGTTTGCCTCCCCCCAGGAGCCCCAGAATCACAGAGTCCTCTCCACCCAAAGGACCCCAGAGGATGGGATGAGGAGCCTCTCGCCAGCATCCCCAGGTCCCACCTCTTCTAAGTGCAAGGCTCCAGGGTCCGTCAGTCCCTAACAAATGGGCACCAGGACTCGGGGAAGGAGAGAGCAAAGACAAAACCCCATCTGGAAGCTGGAAATTCAGGAAAATCCTGTCCTGATGTCTCCTCCCCTTACTGGGCACCAGAAGGAACTGAAAAACGAGCTCCACGTCCCTCATGGCCCCCCAAGCCTGGAACCCAAGGGACAGGTGGACTCACCAGGCAGAGTGCCGCAGGACATCCTTGCCGTCGAAGGAGAGGATGCGTGAACCGGGCTTGAGCTGGCCTTCTGAGCCTGAGAACAGGGCCTCCCAGCTATCAAAGAGCATCTCGTCCTTGGGGGAGGAAAAAGACACCAGGAGAGATGTTGGGAAGAGCACAAACAAGTGTGCCAGCCTGGAAGGCAGACCCACCTTCAGCTGACCCCAAGCTTGAACCATCTACTTAGAACCATCCCATTCCAAAGGGCCTCAGGTCCCGGAAGAATGTCATTCATCCATCAACGCGCTGCCAGGAGGGCTGTGGCCATTCCCCATGGGGACCGGGGGGAGAGTGGCTGGGCAGCCGGCCTGCTGAGGGTGAGCCTCCCTCCCAGAGCAGCTTGGGGCTAGGACAGGGAGAAGCTCGTGGAGGCTGCCCTCAGAAACCGCCAGGTGTGCGAGGTCCAGGGCTCTCGGCCTGGAGGCCAGGAGCTTGGTTTGGTTGGGTTTTCTATGCTGAGTTTGCCTCGCACTGGCTTCTCTGATAAGAGCATGATTCTGCAAAGAGGTCCTTGGGCTTCACTAGCTTGGCTGCCCCTGGGCTGGGACATGCCCAAAGTGTGGCTGACAGAGACCAGAAGACCTGGGTTCAAATCTGCCTCAGATTTTTTAGCTGTGACCCTGAATGTGACCTTTTCTCTGGGCCTCAGTTTCCTCGTCTGTCAAATGAGGAGGTCGGATTTGATGACCTCTAAGATCCTTTCCACTCTAAATCTGCGATCCCATTACTCTGAATCTGGCCCTGTTTCTGGGAACCATGAGAGCCGACCTCAAGTCCAGGCTGAGTGACTCCAGGTGCCGCCTTTCTCCCTGGCCCTCAGAGCCTGCAGTCTCCCCGAGCAGCCTACCTGGAGATTGAAGATGGGCACACTGCCGCGGTCCGCCCTGCGGACTATGCTGTAGAGGTCTTGAAGCCTGGAGGACAGGAAGGCCCGGAAGGTGCCCATCAAGCCCACCTCCCGGGCCTGCTGAAAGCACTGGAAGTCAGCCCCACGGATGCCACGCATGCTGCCCGTCTGGGGACCATTGAGAGCAACGAGGTGGAGCTGGAACGAGAAGATGAAACAAGACTCATGGGTGAGCCACGTCCGTCAGTCAGTCGGTCGACAAGCCGGGATGAGCACGACCTGCAAGGGGTGACAGACAGAGAGTGCGCGGGCCAACTGCGTAGTTGGAGATGTGAGCACGTGCCCAGGGCCTGGCACACAGTAGGCACTTGTTAAATGGAAACAGCCCGAGGAAGCTCAGAAAGCAAGCAAGCCTGGCACCAACCAAGCCTCGAAGTCCAGACTGCGTGCCCCTGGCCAAGGAAGTGCAAGGCAGAGAGAGCCCTTGGGCAAGTTAGGGTGGGTGTGGCTGAGGAGCTCAGGGCCCCTGAGCCAAGGTGGCCACGTGGTGCTGCCACAGGCACTTACTGCGGGCTGGAAGTCATGGTGCACGTGCAGCGGAGAGGCCGTGGGCTGTGCAGGCCGGACGTTGGTGTAGGAGCCGTGGTAGCTGGGGATGCGGTCGTGAGGGTGCTGTTGGACGCCGTGGTATGGCGGGTGGTGACCGCCATGCTCGGAGAATCGCGGGTGGTTGGCCTGGATGTCGTCGGCTCGCCAGGGCTTGGCAGTTGAATGTGGGTAGCCCCGGTGAGGATAGGGGAGGTTGCCATCTTGAATGTGGGAGCCTGACGGGGCCGAGTTCCCTGGTGAGTACTCTACGATGGGTGGCTGCAGGACAGCAACCTCATTATCCTGGAGAAAGGAGAAGAGCCACGGAGTGTTCGGAGTGGCCTCTGGCATAGCTGGAGGCAGACCGCGTGTGTGTATACATGAACACGCATGCGTGTGTACACGTGTGTGTGTGTGATCATGTGGTTATGTGTGTCTGGGCATCTGTGTGCATGACGTATGTATGGATGCCTAGGAAGAACTTTCAGGATAGCTGCCTGGCCTGAGCGCCTGCTCCGAGCATGAACAGTGGGGCTGCAGAGATGGCCCCGAGCTCCCCAGGGAGGGCAGGGGGAGCCCAGCCCGGCCTAGCGCCGGCCTCTGCAGCTCTCTGCCCTTTCCCTCAGCCATCCTGGGATGAGCAAAGGTTCTCACTTACCGCCCCACGAGAGAGCACGGTCTGGGCCTCCAGCTGAAAAGAAAACAGGCAGCATTATGAGCCTGGCCACATTCTCTGTGTCCCCTCAGTGGGGGCTCTCCTCAGGGCCAAGAACGCACACCAGGCCATGGAAAACATGGGAGAGGCCAGAAGCCTGAGGTACCCATCCTCCCATCCCCCTCCTCACCTCTCCCAGGGCCCCAGGGTGTCAGCCTAGCAAACAGAAGCAAAGGAAGAGAAAAGATCCCAGCTCTGCCATCAAAGGGGCAGCACTCAAGCCCCCTGGGGTGACCTTGACCTCAGTTTCCCCACAGCCTGTAAGGAACCTTCTAGCTGTGAGCAGAATGTGAGTCCCTTGAGGGCAGGACTGCCTTATTCCTGCTTTTGTGACCCCAGTGCTGGACACATAGTAGGCACTTTAATAAGGAATGACACCGGCTAACTTCGCCTCCAATGAAGGTTTGCGGAGCACTTCATTTCCTATTAGTTCCTCACCACAGCCCTTCGAGCTAGGGGCTAGGATTACCCATGTTACAGATGAGGAAACTGGGCCAGAGAGACAGGACACCTTGTGCAGGCTCAGCCTCCCTGGAGCCCACTGTGACAGGCTTGCCTGCGAGGCCAGCTGTCAAGAAAGCCCAGTCCTGTCCTGGAAACTCACCAGGACTTTCTTGAAGCCTCTGCGCACGCGAACGTACAGCTCTTCCCTCTCCGCCACATAGACCAGCCAGCCCTCAGGCACCTCGTGGGCTTTGTTGAGCATGGCCTGGTAGCTTGTCCAGATTCTCAGCTGCTGGAAACACAAGCTCGGCCCGTGTGGGTGCCGCCAGAAAGCGGGGAGGGGTGGGCAGGGAAGAGAAGACAGGGGGCCCACAAGGAAGTACAGGGAAGGAGGAACCCCCTTTCCACCTGTCTCTCTGGCCACCTCGTGGAGCTACTTCCCTGTGGGGCCCCAGCAGTGTGGGGGGCCCAGCTCCCCATGCTGGGCAGAGGCACCATCTGCACCATGGACAGTGCTGGCTTCCCAGGTGACCCCAAGGACAAGCTTGTTAGAGGTGGGGCATCCTGGCAGGCCAGAGTGGGCTCAGCTGGTGTCCCCAGGGGTCCCTGCTCTTGGGGGCAGGTCCCAGCTTGCCACCATACCCAGAAGGAGGCCTTTTTCTAATACTCACCCCTGATGATGTCCCTGAAGTCCCTGGGGGTCCGGGGGGGCCTGGGGGACCTGGGGGGCCAGGGACACTGATAGCTGAAAGAGAGACATGCCCTAGAATAAAGCCCATTTCCCCAGCTGAGCAGTCCCACCCAGAACCCAAACCCACCTACACCCTTCCTCCTCCTCGGCTGCACTCTGAACGCCCTTCCCCAGAGAACTTACTCTGCCTGTGGGGTCCTGGGAATGACGGTGGTCCTGGGGGGCCAGGAGGCCCAGGGGGGCCCTGCCGTCCTTCATAGCCTATGCCTGGAGGCCCCTGAGGTCCTGGGGGACCAGGCTGACCCCTGATGCTCTCTCCCTTGGGACCCTAAGCAGGAGACAGGGTAACACATGCACGGTGCATGTCAGGGGCCCAGGAAGTAGCTACCCCCGAGGGTCCCCTGAGTCTGCAGATCCCCAGGGCCCCAGGCCACGGGGGATCCCAGCTTGTGAGAGCTGCTGGGTATGGCCTAAACTACCCATGTAGCAGGTGACCATGGGCAAGATGGCGACAGTGATGCCAAAGGGCGCCTCGGCCGAGGCTGGACCCTGCAGGACCTAGGTGGGCACCAGGCACGCCCAGGGCTGTACTTGGAGGAACTCTGGGGCTCCCACAGTGCCAGTGGGGGGATGGGCACAGGGGTAAGAGGTTCGGGGGGCTGAGGGGAACAATAGCACCCTCCCCCGGATGTAGTTAGCTATGAAACGCATCCTGGGCCTGAAAGAGCCAGATGCCTGTTTGGTCAGTGGGCTCATTGTAAAGTCCTGGTCAGGGCACAGGCACAATTCAAATACCTGGGCGCTAAAGAGGAAACCGTTTGTATGGAAGAACACTTGGGCTCCCGGCCTCCCTGGCCTTACTCCCCTGGTCCTCCTGGCTCTTGGCTATTCTGGTGATATCCCCAGCAGGAAGGGTCACAGGGCACTTTGGCCACCCTGACTCTGGACATAACTCGGCTTAATTCAATGCCCTCTTTGGGCGGTAGCGGGGGGATGGTATTTTATGTCTTCTGATTACATGTAAAGGTAGTCTTCAACATTCATTTTTCAATAAGATTTTGGGTTTCAAACTCTTCTTCCCTGCCCCCTCCCCAAGAGGTCAAGCAATCTGATAGAGGTTATACGTGTGCAAGCATGTAAACATTCAGTATACGCTTAAGTGTTCAAGCATGTAAACATTCAGTACATGCTGAAGGGTCTACTGTGCGTAAGGCCCCAGGAGGGTGGATGGCCTGGCAGGGGGCACTGGGCAGCATTGACCTCAGCTGTGAGATTCCCATAATCCCACTCTTTCAGGATGCTACCTGGAAGGGCTTGGCTGTGGGCACCCAAGGTGACCTGAGAAAGGACAGGGATGGGCATGGAGAGCCTCAGGCAGGAAAGGAAGAGGCCTGGCTCCCCAGTCTGGAGGCATGCCCTGCCTGGCATGTGCTTGGCCACGCCTCGGCTCCTGGCAGTGGGTGGGCCCAGAGCTGGGAGGGGGCCTGTCCTGGTAGGTCCCAGGAGATCCCACTGCCTCTCCCCTACTCACTGGCCTTCAAGGGGAGGGCCCCTGGGGCAGCACCAACTCAGGGGAGGCACGGGATAGGGCTTGGTCTTACCGGAACACCGGGGTACCCCGGGGGGCCCGGGGGGCCGGGCAGGCCTGGGACTCCAGAGCTGAAAAATCCTCCACTGCCAGGTTCACCCTTTTCCCCTTTCACGCCTTCTTCCCCCTTTTCGCCCTGTAGACAGAAAAGAGCGAGTGAAGGAAGGTGGGTCCTCAGGGCTGTGTGTGGGGGAACGTGGCTTCCCCCCAAAGGTTCTGTGGAAGCCTGCCCCACAGCAGTGGAGGGAAGCAGGGTGGGCCACCCACTGCCAGGGGCTGAGGCTTCCCAGCCTCCCTCATCCCTCCTGCCACGGACCCAGCCCTCTCTTCCTCCCCAGTATCTCTTGTGTCCTGCCCCATCGCTCCAGTCATATAGCCACCTCCCACCTGAGACTCCCGCCAGTGGCCTATCCCCCACTCAGCTGCCAAGACCAGGTCACTCCTCTGCTCTATGACTTTTAATGGCTCCCTATCACTGCTTCAAGGCAATCAAGCCTAAGCTCCTCCCTTTGGCTTTGAAAGCCCTTTGTCCCTGCCACCTCTTGGGGCTCACTAATCCAAGGGCTGGAGGTCTGCAGAGCACTTTACACGTGGTATCTCACTTGACCCTCACAGTGAGTTCTGTCAATGATTCCCATTTTACAGATGAGCAAACTGAGAAGTGACTTGCAGAGGGTCTAGCTAGCAAAGTGTCCCAGGCCAGGTTTGAACCCAGGACTTCCTGACTCAAAAGCCTAGTAACTGCCTTTCCTGCCAGAGGGCCCAAACAAATTGACTTCTCTGGGTTCCTCTCACACTCTGCTCCATTTTTTGTCTCCATGCCTTTGCAATAGCTGTGCCGCCTGCCTGGGATGCACTCCCTCACTGCTACTCCGAGTCTGGCCCTCTGGATCATCACTTTGTCTGTGAATCCCTGTAACCACAGGGGCCTTCCCTCCCCAAATAGAGCAGAGGCCCCAGCTTTGCATTTAGCTCTCTCTGCATGAGGTCTTCCCTAAGAGAGTCCAGGTTCCTTGAGAGGGCAGAGTTCAAATCCTACCCCAGACTCTCACAAGCCAGGTGACCCTCAGTTACCTCTTCTGTAAAAGGGTCAGTGGCACCTCCCTCTCAGGGCTACTGGGAGGCAGGAGATGGTTTACAAGCCTCCAGATCGTAGGCAGGTTGGCTACAGTGTAAGCTATCTGAGGGCAGGCTGATTTTGATGGGGGTGGGAGGCAGGTTGTCTGTCTCCTCAGAACCTCGCACAGGCCTGACACATACACAGTGGGTGCCTAATACAGCCTGGCTTGCCCCTGGGCAATGATTCCGAGGCTGCCCACTTGGGGGATGCCATGACAGAGGCCCCTTGGAGGGTTTCAGAGGGGAGCAGGGCCCCTCCTCTCTCGGAGGTCCCACCTGCCTGCTCCTGACTGGCCTTGCACCTCCTCATCCTGACAGGCTCAGCCCGGGCCTTTGGAGGGCTTCCCTACCCTGCCAAGCTTTCAGCAGGGGGAGCCCTGAGAAACTGGGGGAGGCGCTGGCCCCAGTGAGTCATGTCCCAACCCTTGGAGAGAAGGGCGGCTCACTCACCTTCATGTGCTCCACCAAAGTGCTAAAATCATATGGCAAAATGCCTAGTGGGAGAGAACAGACACGGCCATTAGGAGCGGCCTGGCAGAAGTGCCCCAGGCCCCCTGCCAAGTCAGCCCCAAAGGCCTTGGCTCAGCTCGCCAGGGAATGTGGTCTCCACAGCCTTTGTGGGAAAACAGACAGAAGCAGGACATTTCCTCCAAAATGCTGCCAACGCAAGGGCACTCGGGGGTTGAAGAAACGTTCTGGGCCTGGGATTTCTGTGCCAATACGAATGCTGAGGATGCATCCCAAGTGAGGAGGGTCAAGCCAGGAGAGAAGCGGCCTGCTGCGGCCCAGCCTCTTCCCAGAGCCCTACTCCTGGCTCCTAATAGGACGCTGCCCATGCCCCCACCTTGGCGTCCGGGCCTCAGGACGTCCCCAAGGAAATCTGCCTCCTGGGTGCTCCCTGTGGGATGTCAGACACTGAGCCCCTGGACTGGGACCCTTCCCCCAGTGGGCACAGCACCAGAAGCTGCAGCCAGGGCCTTGGTGAGCACTGACCCTGCTCTGGCATGTTCGATGCCGGGCCTGGTGTGCTCTGGGCCTAGGCTTCAGAGGGCCAGCGGATCCTAGCCCAGAAGCTGGCACTGAGCCCAGCCCCAGCTATTTGCAGATGGGAAAACTGAGACCCAGGAAGGAAAATGGCCCAGCCCAGGTCACAGCTCGTTAGCAGCCAAGCAGGAATCGACTCCAGGGGTGCAGCCTGTGCTGGCCTGGGAGGAAGAGGGTGCTAAGCCCTGCCTCCTCCGCCTCTCTTGGCCAATGGCAGCATCCTTCACTCCCAGTCCTGAGCCGGCAGTGAGAGGAGGTGCCCACGGAGGCCCTGCTGCTCCCCCACACGCCACGTGACAGCGGCTACCACAATCCCCTACTCCCAGAGGCAAGCACCCCCATGCCTGGGGACAGCTGGAGCTCATGGGCATTCAGGCTTACCTGGTGGCCCAGCAGGTCCGGCTTCTCCCTTGTCACCCTTGGGTCCAGGGGAACCTTGGTAACCTAGGGCAGGAGAGCACAGATGTCTAGGAACTGGGAGAGGATGCCCAGGAGCTGCCACCCTCCCCCCACAGGGCTCTGCAAGGCTAGAAGTAGCGGCCACGGGAGTGGGGCATGTGACAGACGGGACAGCTTCGAGGCAGCAGAGGAACCATGGTTCCTCCTGCTCCAGGGAGCCGGGGGGTCTTTAAAAGGAAGTGGAGCTGGCTGCCCACTGTCCAAACAGCCCGTGCTCGGCTGCAGCCAGGCCCCAGGGATGCCTGAACGACACACAGCTGTCAGTGGGAGCAGGGGCCCACCCAGGAACGCCCAGTGGCCCGAGGGTTTGGACCACCGGAACAAGTCTGAAAAGGGCAGAAGCCAGCACCGGGTCATGTTATGTGGCAAAAGCTGAAGTTGGACAACGTGACACGTCCTGGGACAACAGGAAATATGGGAGGGCAGCTGTCGCTAAGCCTGGCTTCACCACTTGGGGGAAGTGTGTGGTTGGGGTGGTGTGGGGACAGGGATGAGGACAGAGAATCCAGCTGCCCTCCCCATTCTCCTTACCCGGCAATCCTGGAGGCCCAGGGCGGCCAGGCTCGAGGAATCCCTGAGAAGCACAAACAGAGAAGAGCTGGAGACACTGAGGCCTGACGGGGCAAGTCCAGGCCTCAAGGACCCCTCCCTCCCCAGTGTGAAAGGACAGGGACCCTCACCAAATCTGAAGATGCCTCCAGCAGCCTGCCCTTTCCCAGGCGGAGCCCCAAGGCCTCCCACGGCTCTTTCTGAGTGACTTTGTCCAGCCCTAACCAGGCAGCACTGAGCTGGGTGGGGGGCGCTGAGCCCACCGCCTGAGGCCACCCCCTCGCCCGGCGGTCTCCCCGCTCCCTCCACCCCTCGCACCAGAGATCCAGAAGCGCCGCTTTGGGGAGGAGGCCGAGAATGGACATGCTGAGCCCCTGGCTTTCATGACAATAACGAGGACAGTGTGCATTCACACAGCACCTACTACGTGCCAGGCACTTTGCTTTACAAATATGGCTCACTTGATCCACACAACAGCCACGGGAGGTTTGTGGTTGTTCAGACATTTTGCAGTTGGGTCTGACTCTCCGTGACCCCACTGAGGGTCTTCTTGGCAGAGATGCTAGAGGGCTTTGCCATTTCCTTCTCCAGCTCATTTTACAGATGAGGAAATTGAGGTAGACAGGGTGAAGTGGCTTGCCCAGGCTCACACAGCTAGTAAGTGTCTGAGGCTGGATTTGAACTCAGGTCTTCCTGACTCCTAGCTGTCCCTACTTCAGATATGGGACAGAGACTGGAGGGAGCATTCAAAGCTTCCAGGAGGGCTGGCCTTGACCTTGTCCAAGATGAAGGCCAAGATGTTCACCAAAATATGAGGCCCTGCCCAACCCTGCTGCAGGAGCCCCCCGTCTTCCTCCTTTGTGGCAGCGGGAGGGGCTACTTACATTATTGTCATAGAAGGAAGTCCCAAGGAGGCCTGGGGCCCCTGGGGGCCCTGGGGGCCCTGGGAGTCCAGGAGGGCCCTGAAAGAGGAAGAAACAACAAGTGAATGAAGGGGCCTGGGCCGTGAGCTTCCCAATCCAACCATGGGGAGAAGACAGAGGCTGCAAGAAAGGAGACTTTGAATAAAGGAAATGAGAGAATTGGAAAAGGAAATGAAGCCAGGGTGGGGGTGTCCCTGGGGAGGCTGGTGGCCCTTCCTTCATCAGCCCTAAACTTGCCTGAGCAGAGCAGCCCAGGCTGTCAGTCATTGTCCCTCGGGTGGGGAGCATGGAAGCGCCCCTCCCCCAAGGACGCTCATCACTAACACTCCCTCCCAGGCGGCTGAGGGGGACTCGCCCCTCCTGCTCAGCATGATGCAGAGGAGGCCCTTAGCCCAGGAAGTGGAGGAGCGCTGGCCTGGGGCGTCACGCTGGTGGCCCATGTCTGAGGACGTCGGAAGGCTCCCAGGCGGTGAGAGGCCTGCATTCCTCTGCTTGGTTATGTCATGATAACTTCCACAGAGAGAAGACTGGGAATCCAGGACAGCTGCACCAAGTATGTGAAGGGCGTCCCTGGGAAGGCGTAGCCTCGTACGGCTTGGCCCAGGACGGACTGAGGAGCGCATGGAAGAGGCCATGGCCCAGCTGAAGTTTGATCTATCGGGTAAGGTTTCCTGATCCTGACAGCCGGCCCGCTGATGAACAGGTTGCCTCAGCCCCACCCCCCACCCCAACCTGGGAGGCCTCACCCATGGCCACCCCTCCAAGACGGAGGCGAGGGCATTCTGGTCTAGGAGGCCTCTGGGTGCCTGCGCACCCTCCGACTCTGTGATTCTCTCGTTTTCAAAGGAGGTGACTTAACTAGGCCCAGGGTGGCCAGCACTAAAGCCAAAGCCTTTGTCATGTGTGGGCCCAGTACATCTCCACACAAAAGGCCGGCCCTTCCTCAGTTTGCCATCAGCCTCTGCTTCTGTCCTTTGGAAGAAGTGCTGATGACACTTGGTCCCTCAATGTGGGTTTCAGAGAGAACCTCGAAGAGAGAAGGCATGGCCTGCCCTCCCCAAACAGAAAGGGTGTGGCCACCACCAGGCTGGCTGATGTGGGAGCTGAGGAGCAGCCCTGCTGAGGCCCTGTGATGACCTTCCATAGAATCACAGGATGGAGAGCTAGAGGGTACCCTGAGACCATCTAGGCCATCCTCCTCGCTTTCAAAATGAGGAAACTGAGGCCCAGAGAAGGGAAAGGACTTGTCCATGGCTATATAGGTACCAAGTGGCAGAACCTGCTTGGACTTCAAGGAAGGGCTTCCAACCCCAAATGGGACCCCTGAGGCCCTCCTCACCCAGCCCCCAGCCCCACTGTCACCCAGCTCCCAGCCTCATTAGTGCCCAGCCCCCAGCCCTACTGTCACCCAACTCCCAGCCCCATTGGCACCCGTCCCCCAGCCCCATTGGCACCCATCCCCAAGGTCCTGGCAGGCTTCCACCACAAAGTCCCAGCCCCAGAATATCTACCCTGGGTCCCACGGCTCTGTTGGCATCTGCAGGCTCACCCTTCTCCCCCTTCAGTCCGTTCATGCCCGGGCGGCCCTGGAAGAGAGAAGGAAGTCAGGAGAGTCAGCTTCCTCCACACTTCTCCTCTGTGACCTTCTCCATTTCCAGAAGGTGGAGGCCGAGCTAGCCAGCAGTCGGGCAGAAGGGATGTTGGAATGGCCCTGCAATCCTGGAGGGCAGAGTGGGAAACAAGCAATTTCCATTCCCATTGACACCAAGCCACAAGGGTCCCACAGACAGACAGAGCTCAGGCATGTGGGGAACATACTCTGAGAGGAGAAAATGCCCCCCGACCCCATGATGCTCTGACTGCTCTGGCCATGGCAGCCCAAACCAACTGGGCCGAGCCTGCAGACCCCAGCCGAGGTTCCATCTTCTCTCTGGCTCCAGAGGGACAGGGAGGGCAGGAAGTCAGCTTGGCTCCTAATCTCCTGCAAGATCTGGGTCAAGGCCTGGTGCTTGATCATGCCCAGGACAGGTCATCTTGGCACCGGCTGGGCCTCCTCAATGGGCCACAGTCCAGCCCACAAGCCTGGACCCTCCACCCTGCCCCCCGGTCAGCCCTCCAGGCCAGATCTGTGGCTGCAGCAAGGGCTGGACACTCATATGCCCGGCCTGCTAGTGGCCCCCATTACCATCCCTCAGCAGCAGCAGGCCTGGGCTCTTGACAGCAAGGCCAGGGCAGGGGACCTTGGGAACACCAAACAGGAAACAGAAGACGTAGAAAACCAAAAATGGAACAATGCTTACTGGTCTTCCAGGAATTCCAATTTCGCCTTTGTGCCCAGGGCGTCCATATGGGCCCTAAAGTAGAGAAACAGCGTTTGAAAACTGCCAGAAGGAAGGGTCTCACTTCAGAGGGTCATGGGACGTGGACAGGTGAACAGCCTTTAGAGGCGCTGAAGTCCAGCCTCTATATTTTACAGATGAGAAAACTGAGACTCAGGAATATCATGGGATTTGTAAATGGCAGGCCTTAAAACCATGAATTCTGGCTTCTTTGCTTTATAGAGAAAGAAACCAACACCGAGACAGATGGGATGACCTGTCTGAGGGCACACGTTGAGCTCGAAGCCGCACTGAACCTGGGACCCAGGTCTCTGGACTGCCATTGGGCTCACCAGGGCCCCACACCACCCCCATTCCCAGATACACACTGGAAAGGGCTGAATGTTCAGAGTGAAGCCCCAGGAATGGGGGACGGGGTGGGGGGCACAGGCTCCATGGAGAAGAGGCACAGCAGAGACAGCAGGGCCAGGAACTCTGAGGTTCATGCTGCCACCACTACAGCATCTCCTGCCATGCTTCAGAGATGGCGAGAGAGTGCTGAGCCTCGAAGTCAGTGCTCACATCACCCAGAGCAGATTTCTCATCCTTGTAGTACAAAGTAGGGGAAGAAAAAAGCATTCAGAGCTTACCGGGGGCCCCCTGTAGCCTTGGTCCCCCTGTGCAAGGAAAACCAAGCCACATTAGTACATGACTGACAGCCACCTGCCATTCAGGCAACATTCTTTCCCACTGCTATCATCAGCCCACCCCCCCACCCCTCCCACCCTGGCTGCTCTGGAGACACCCATCTACACTTAAAGGAAACTGTCTCTTGTCCTTTCCCAAGACAGATGCCAGAACACCTGCCCAAGAGTCCACTATGTGCCTCAGAGGGTCATCCGGGAAGCTCTCCAGGCCTCCTGAGCTGTCTGTCTATGACAGCCAGTGAGCTGGGGTTCCTGTCTGTCCCACCTCACATTCGATCACAGGCCCAGACCCTGGACACTGGCTTCAACACGAAGACCTGTTGGACTTCCGTCTCTAAAATCCTGTTTTTCCAGGGGCAGGTTGGCCCTGAGGCATTCCTCACTTTCAGCACCACGGCCAGCACTAAGCACGCGGGTAGGAGGGCAGTATCCAGGTGAGACCCAGAAGGGCCATAGCTCTGGGGCGGGGCTGCAGCCCTCTGAAGAAGATGAAGCCCAGAGAGGGAAGGGCCCGCCCCGAGCACTACAAATCAAAGCATTAGAGGCAGGCGTGGCCCAGGGGCTCTGGCTGCAGAGGCAGCAGCTCCCTCCTTCGATGCCATCTGTCAGATAGGCGACGTCGCTCATGGCCACGAAGGAGAAGGAGTTAGCTGAGCCTTGTGGAAACAAAGCCTGGACTGTGGGGCCATCTGAGCAGGCTGAGAATGAACAAAGGCAGAGGGCTTCCTCCCCTCTGTGGCTGCCTGGAAATAGGCCCAGGAGAGAGTGGGCTGTGCTAGTGGGGAGAATGGGAGATACCTGGGGCTCTGGCTGCAGAGAGGGTCCCAGAGACCAGGGAGCTCCCCTCCCCTTTGGTCCAGAATACCCCTTTGCTCTGTCCCCTAAGCCCAGGTGATGGAGGAATGGGGCACCTCACTGACTAACACGAATGCTATTCTCAGTTCCCTGGCATCTCCAATCATGAACCCTGGGCACACCGAGAAGAGGGAGGGAAGCAATCAGGCTCACCCCAAACTAACCTTGGCTCCTTTCTCGGAAAGTGTGAGGACACTTCCAGGTTCGCCCTTCTCCCCCTAATGTTGGCAAGGAAAGACAGAGGAGGATTAAAAAGGAGGCTCACTGACTGGGAGACTCTTCCTCGGGTGGAGAATATGATTTTGTCCCAGGCAGAGCCCTCTCCAAAGGAGGATTATCCTCACTGAAACTGAGCCTCTTCAAAGTCCGGTGACTACACTCAGGGCCAGGCCCTTGCTCACCTCCCACTGCCTCTTGATCCTCTTACCTTGGCGCCAGGGGAACCCTGTGGTCCATGAGCACCAGTATCTCCCTTTGGACCAGCTGGGCCCTGGAAAGGAAGAGCATTGGTACAGATGTGATGGAGATAATGAAGCACCTGCCACACAGGCCACATTATGAGGCTGAGGGGGCCTCTCTGACAGACCTTAGCGGCATATGCCCCATGACACAGAGAGACCTCACAGCAAGAGGCTTCTACAGCCCGCTGCCCGTTAGCCATTCCCAAAGGAGGAGAATTGGTCGGGCATGATCACTCACACCTACATAGAAAGGAACCAAGGAGGTGAAGAGACGTGCCCAAGGCCAGGCGGATAACCTGAGGTGAGAGGTGGATGGTCTCCCAGTCCTTATTCTAGAGCTACTGCCGCCCACACAGCAGGACCACGCCTAGTCCCCTTCCTCCCAGAGGGAAGATGGCCCACCAGTTGGTGGCTTGGATTTGTATGCAGTTTCTACTTTAGACTCCATAGACCTTCATTCTACGTCCACTCCTGTATGAGGGAGTTACCCCCGACAGAACGACAGGAGAGGTGGAAAGGGAGCTCAGTTAGGCTTGGGTTGGCCCAAGCAGCTTCCAGGATGCCTCCTCCCTGAGGTTCCTGGAGGGGGACTCCAAACCATCTGTGTAAAGCTTGTCTCCAGGGAAATGCAGCATTCCACCTGGCGTGTGGCTCACAAGAGCAGCAGGCTGGCATCTGTCACCCCAGCGTAACACTGCTAGTGTGAGAGTCCTGGTGAGATCTCTCGCTCAGTGCCTAGCAATGGGCACAGGGGCAGAGATTGACTGACATTCTCGAGCTTAACAAATAAGCCTTGAATGGTGTAGGTTTAGCAAGAGCAGAGGGAGAGTTTCTTGTGTGTAGAGGTGGACGGGGGCAATGGCCGCTTACCGGGAATCCAGCATAGCCGGGTCTGCCCTGGGGGAAAACCAAGAGCCCAGTGTCAGCTCTCAAGGAAGTGCCCACATGGCATCCCACATTCAAGAGGTCAGGGACTGCTCTCCCCGTAAAGCACCTTGGCCAGAAGCCAGGAGCCCTCAGGAATGCCCGAGAAATAAAATGGGCTACGTACCTCACGCCCTGACACGCTTGCAAATGTTTTCTTTAAACCGACAGAAGAAAAGAAAAGAAAACTTAAATTCCAAATGCTCGTCTTATGGTTCCCTCCCTCCTCTACCCTAAAAAACCCCATGATCACGAATTTCTGATGTTCTTCAGGTTTGTGAGTCTTAAACTCCTCTTGACAAACTAGGCTCCAGTAACTGCCCACGGCTTTATCCACCCAGAGAGGGACATGCTCTCTGATGGCAAAGCCCCTGTCTGCCAATGCTGTTTCCAAGGAACAAGGTCTCCTAGAGGGGGTCCATTACCTTTGACTGGCATGTGCCACCTAAGTGCCCAGCCTTGTTTTCTGCATCAACCCCTTCTGGTTACAAACCTTCCTAAAGCAGGAGAGCACACTCCCTGCCCTGGGCAGACACTGCCCCCCAAAGAAGAGTGAGTCGTCTGAGCATCTGGGCAGGGTCAGGCACAGGGAGCACCCACAGCCTGGCATTAGCTCCCCCAGTCAGGCATAGCGAATGCCCACAACCTTGCATTAGCTAAAGTGCACACAGCTTGATGTTAGCTCCTCAGCTGGGCATGGGAAATGCCTACAGCCTGGCATTAGCTGGCATTAGCTGGAGCACCCACAGCCTGGCGTTAGCTCCCCCAGTCAGGCATAGCGAATGCCCACAACCTTGCATTAACTAAAGTGCACACAGCTTGATGTTAGCTCCTCAGCTGGGCATGGGAAATGCCTACAGCCTGGCATTAGCTGGCGTTAGCTCCCTGGTCAGGCATGGGGATACTCGCAGCTTGACATTAGCTGCCTCTGTGCTGTGGACAGCTGCCAGAGATATTGGGCACAAAGACTGTGGTTTGGGCTCTTCTCTCCCAATGTCAACGTCCCTTCTTAGTGGGGTTGCATTGATTTTGTTTGCTTAGATGTGAGAGTGAAGTTCCCCACTCCTCTATGTCTCATAGAATGTTGGACAAACTCCCCAGAGGAGGTCTCTCCATGAGGGCAATTCTAAAACGTTATTTCCCTGCAGGTGCAATTGGAGGGTCGCTGGTCCTATGGCTTTAGAGCTAGCAGGGATCTCAGAGACTGTACCATCCACTCTCTTTCATTTTATAGAGGAGGAGGCTGAGGCCCAAGGGAAAGTAAGAAACAGTGGAGATGTGATCGGAACCCAGGCTCTTCATTACTGTGGGTCTAGCCAGCTTCCTGTCTCTCCTGCAGGCTGAGCCCCCTTCAGGGCACTTGGGTGTGAGGGAGCCACAGGGAGATGAGGCGAGGGAGGACCAGATGGCAATGGAAGAGGACTTGGGAGAAATCTGCTCTCCTCAGTCATCTCTGGCAGGGGACATGTCCCCCTGCCTCCTCCCAGATGCCTTGGTTTTCAGGCTCACAGACACCTTTCAGAGGGCTGCACCCAAGGACAAGGAGGATGCCCACAGGAAGCCCTTCCAAGTCATTGTCAAAGACCCCCAGGATCACCTTGAGCACACAGATCAGACACCACACACGTGCACATGCGTGTGCTACAAACATACACATGCACACACACAATCTGACTAACAGCTCCAGATTCTTGGCAGCCTTCTGCCATGGCATTGCCACCCAGAACAATCAGGGAGAAAACAGGAGTGGGCGACTCCGAGAGCTGCTCCTTACCCCTTCCTCGGATACGTAGGTCATCTCTCCTGGAGGCCCGGGAGGCCCGGGAGGGCCAGGCTGCCCCACACCATCCTTCCCTGGTTCTCCCTAGAAGAAAATTGAGACATCCTCACACACAACCCCCCCACACACACAGCCCCAGCACTGGGGCAGCTGGGACAAATACCAGCCCCGGAGGCTTCCACGCAATGGGATGGCCTCAGACCCTTTAAAATAGGGGTGACTGGGCATCCACCACCTAACCCTCCTTCCAACCCCCAGCTTGTGCTCTGGGCACAGGTAAGAAGGTCATCATCTTACATCGGTAGGGACCTTAGAGGTCGGTGAAGCCAATGTCCACATTTCACAGAGGGGGAAACTGAGGTCCCACAGAGTTAAAGGGACTTGACCAGTCACATAATCAGTGAGTGCCCGAGGCAGGATCTGAAGCACAGCATGCTCCATCCATTCCTCAAGATGCCCAGACCCTGGTTATGGGCAAGACCCCGGCAGCCCCCGGCAAGACCCCGGCAGCCCCTGCCAAGACTCTGGCAAGACCCTGGCAAGACCCCAGCAGACCCTGGCAGGACCCTGGCAGCCCCTGGCATCTGGGGCTGGCCGTTGCTCAAAGGACATAAAAGACAAAGCCAACAACTCTCCCCTACCTTCTGCCCCTGGCTTCCTGGATCTCCTTTTGGCCCCTGCAGGGAAATAAAGGTGATCATTCTGAATGTAGCAGGTGGATTCCTAAGCTTCCCAGAGCAGATCCAGAAGAGAGCAGAATCCAAGGGGACAAGGCTTATCATTCTCGAGCTGGAGGGGACCAAGTCAGAGGCTGGCCAGTCCAACCCCCTTGTTTTACAGGGGAGGAAACTGAGGCCTAGAGAGGACCCAAGGTCAGACGACCAGGAAGGGGTCAAGGCGGCCCATAGATGCAGGGCTGATTCTGAGGCCGGTGCCCTTCCCACTGCACCATCCTGCCTATCACTGAGATCCAGGCTGAGCTCTAGGAGCATCAGACCTCTCTGGCCACGACCATAGCTGATCCTCAGAGCCCCCCTGGAAGTTAGGTGCAGGGGCAGCATTATCTCCACTCTCCAGATGAGGAGAGTGAGGCTCAGAGGTCGTCCCTCAGGGTTAGTGCTGGGATTTGACCCCGGGGCCGGCCTCCTTTCTCCTGGACCCTTGAGCTTCTCACAGGAGATCCCATGGGCTTCCCTGACCGTGGGACCTCTAAAGGGTTTGTCTCCCCCAGAAGAGTACATAGTAGACGCTTAATGTATGTTGATTGCCTGGCAGAATGAAAGCGTTGTGGGCCCCCCACTCCTGCTCTACCTCCCACCAGGGCACTGGTCCTGGGGAGCTGGAGGGAAGAGCAGTAATGCTCTGCACAGCCCCTAGGAGCCGGGAGGTGGGCATCCCCAGAAGCCGTGTGCCTTTGGGCCCAGGTGCTGGGAGGCCCTCCATGACTCCCACCCTCAGAGAGTGGGGGCTGGGTGGGAGAGGACACAGCCAAAGGCCCAGAGAGCTGCCTTCATTCTTCAGATGGCTTCTCACCTTGCTTCCCAGGCCCCTGAGCTGCCCACCCATCCTTTACCTGAGGCCCTGGCATGCCTTCACTCCCAGGTGGCCCAGGAAAGCCAGGATCACCCTAAAACGAGGATGGTAAGCGGAGGTGAGCACACACCCTTCACAACTAGGCAGTAATTCTGCCAGCTTGCCCTTCCTGGGAGAGGCGAACGTGGTGCCCGCCACCAGCCTTTCCTTCACCCTGGGTGGGGGCTCAGCAGTCCTGTTTCCCACACCCTGCAGAGCTGGACACTCCTAACCCCCGGCCCAGAGCTCACCTCCATCCAACCCCATCCACACCCTCACCCTGTCCTGACACTCCAAATCCTACATGTCCCACCACCTCCAGGAAGGCTGCTCTGATTGGCTCCTTCCTCTGCATTCAAGGGATCATCACTGGATTATGACTTAGAGCAGGAAGGAACCTCAGAGGCCCCACTACAGCCCCAATGTCCAGATGAGCAAACTGAGGCCCTGGCAGGGGGGTGTATCAGGAGCAAAGGGCAGAGGTGAGATTCGAACCCAGGCCTGGCTCTCCTCAGGACACTCTCTCTGCATTCAAGGCCTTGGGGTTTAGGCTTTGTTCTCCCCCTACACACACCCTTCCACAGGCTGGGGTGTTTCCAGGCCGCAGTAGTCATGGGTGTGCTACAGAGTAGTGTATGTGCAGAAAGCGGGGAGCCTTTAGGGAGGAGAGGCCACTGGGGGGCTGGGGAGACCCCGGGGTGGCCTGAGCTCTCCTGGCTGCATCCTGGCCTCCTAGGTGGGCACCCCTGGGCACGACAGGCCAACGGGCCCAGGGCCTTCTCACCTTTTCTCCAGGTTGTCCAACCGAGCCACGATCTCCCTGAAATGGACAGACCAGATGGGAGGTTAGCCCAGGCTGGCCATGACCGCCTCTCTCCTCCCTCCCCCCACGGGCCAGGAGGCTGAAGCAGCAGGGGAGCGAGGTGGGCTCAATGCCCCTCCTGGCCTGGCGGAAGCATGGCTTTCCCTCTTGTGCTTGCTTCCACCAAGCCCACGGTCTGAACCCGGGGCTTTGAAGGCCGGCATTTCACACGTGGGCTCTGTCACACAGAACACCCAGTGAAGCCCTGCTGGACACATGTAGCAGACCCGAGCAGGCCAGTTCAGGCCCTAACAGACTTCTTGGTCATTTCCTGGTCCGAGGAGGGGATCGAGGCCAGGAAATGAAGCGACTTCCAAGGTGCCAGGGGCACAAAACACCACAGGCAGAATCTGAACCCAAGTCCTCAGACTCCACAGCCCATGCTCTTTCCACATTCCTTTTATGTCTGGGGCGGGGATCATTGTGAGAATTCTTGCCCAGGGCTGAGAGGCCAGGGGGCTGCTTGGGCCCACTCTGTCTGGCACCCCAGGGGTATGCCTGTCCTCAGGGGCCCTCCTGCTCTCTGGGCAGCCCTTCTCCCACATTTGAGATCTGACTCATCTCCCACATTTCTTCCACAGTCATTGGTGGCCTTCCTCCCTCTATTCAAAAAAAAAAAAAGCAGATTCACTCCTATTTAATCTGGACAAAAGAGCTTTGGGGAGGGGGCCAAAGGAGTGTTTCATCACAGCTGGAGTAGACAAGTTCGGACAAAGTCACTTAAAACCAAGATCGAAAATGTTTCCTGACCTTGAGCCCAGGAAATCCAGGTAGTCCCTGTTAGGGGAGAGAAGAAAATCTACCATCAGCAACGATGCTGCATCATGGGGAACTGTCCATGGACTGATGGTGCCCATCAAACAATGCGCTAACTGCATTGAGAGCTAAGTTCTCCCTCCATGGCTGGGACTGAGCTTCAGAGGCTCTTGGGAGGATGAAGGGGCAGGACAAAGGGCCCTTATGGGATGCCCTTGGAGGGTTTCCATCTCTGGAAGGAGAGGGGCCTGGATCACCCAGCCTCACAGTCCCTGCCCGCTCTGGTCGGGTTCCTTGTGGGCATCGATCTGCCTAGGCTGGGCCTCAGCTCAGACCCTCCCCCCCCCACCAGGGAAGGGAGGCAGTGGCTGCCAAAGGGAGGGGTGCACCCCCTGGATTCCATCTTGCTCTAGCCAACTGGGAAAGGCACCTGACGGCTTCCTTCCGAGGGATAAGAGCAGATTCCCCTGAGTGGCCCAAGGCAGCTGCTGCCAGCCACATCACAAAGAGGCATCTTTTATCTCAGAGACATCCAGAGGTGCATCCGTAAGCCAGCTTGCCCAGGGCAGAGCCAAGTAGTCCCCAGCCTCATCTGTACCTGTGGTCCTTCGGCCCCGCGGGTGCCAGGGACAGCGGTCCAGAACGGCAGCCCAGAACCTTCCATGTCATCCTAGGGGAAACACACAGACACAGGCCTGCAGGCTAGGCTTCCACAGAACCCAGGTCCAGCCCAGCCCAGCACACGAATTGGGGCAAAGAGCCCAGGGCTACCGGCCTCAGGAAGAAAGACCCATGGGGAAAGGGCCCTCCCTCTCAGCTAAAAAGCTGGGAAAAGTGCCTAGGAGACCAGATGGATGGGCCATGGTGGGGGCAGACTTGTGGAGGGGACATCCCCCTTCTGCACCGATGTCAATTAGCCTTCAGGAGAACAGAGAAAATGGCGGGACTCGTACTTACAAATCCAGCTGCCCAGCCTGCGCCAGGTGGCCCTGGAGGGCCAGGGGGGCCCGGCAGCCCCCGAGGGCCCATGGGTCCAGGGAGACCAGCCAAGCCTGTTTCACCAGGAGCACCAACTGGGCCGATGTCACCCTTGCTGCCCTGTGGTGGGAGGTAAGCAAGAAGGTGGGCCACTGAGCTCCCAACAGGGCCAGGCCCTCTGCTGTCCCCAGAGGGGGACCAGCCAGCAGCCCCTCCTCTCGTGGACGCCCCCCCATCTGCATCCACCCCTCGAAGAAGTCACATTCAGCAGGCACCTCCGTCCCTGCCCAAGCGACCCTGCGACGGGGGAAGGGCAAAGATTCCCACTTTCCCACATAACAGAGGAGGAGGCCAGGAGGCCGGTCAATTATCCCTTGCAGATCAGGGCCGGGCAGCTGCCCAGCAATGCCCATGGAGGCCCGGAGGGGAGGCTGCTTCACGGTCCACACCAATCTCAGAATCCCAGGGTGGGAAAGTCTTGAGTGCCACCCACTCCCCAAAGCCAGAATGTCCTTCTCCGTTCAGGGGTCAGCTAGCCTCTGCCTGGGAACCACCTTCAAGGACAGGACACTCACTACTTCCTGAAGTGGCTGGCTTCACTCTGAACAGGCAGATGGAATTGTCAGGAGTTCTTCCTCACACTGGGCTAAAACTGGACTCCTTGGCCCCAGTCCACCCCCGTCTCCCCACGTTGCTTCCATCCCTGCTCCTCAAACGTCGCAGCTGCTACCACAGCCCACTGAGCGCCCTCTCCTGCAGGCCACACATGCCATGCTTGGTCTCTCCACAACCACCCAACCCACAAAAAAGCAGCTTCCAGCCTACCTGTGGTCCTGGGGAGCCCATGTCACCCTGCCAAGAGAAGGAAGGATTAAATGGCCACCTGCCTGACGAGGAAGCATCTCGGCAGAGAGGTGACAGTCTGTCTGGAAGCACACCACGGAAGGGTGGGCCTTCTTCAGATGGTCCATGCTGGACTCTACCTACCTGTGTCAAGGGTGGGCTTCCATTTGGCGGGGAGGGGAGTGGGTGGACAGGGCAGGAATGCCAATGGGGAAGAGAGCCTTGAGGGCAGGTCTGAGTGGGCAGCTCTTGGGGGCCCACACAGGCAGCCTGCGTGGTTCCTACCCCTCAGTCTGACCCCCCCCTTAGAAATCTGGATGGGGCTTCTCAGTCAGGCCTGCCCTCTGTCCCACCCTGGCCACCGGGTGCTTGTGTCTACACAAGTCCCTGTCTTCTGGGGTGCACACACACATCTGAGGGACATGGGGTGGGGCTGGCAGGGACCTTCAAGACCACCTAATCTGACCCTCTCATTTTAGAAAGGGGGAAGGGAAGCAGCCTAGCCCTGATCCCCAAGGCATGAGTGCCAAAGGCGGGACCTGAACCCAGGACTTTCGGACTCTGAGCCAGTCATGACCCTAATGCCAGACTAGGCTCAGCAGCCTCCGCCGGGGCCCCTCCTCGCCATGGGCCCAATGACCCGTGTCTCCAGAACCCCTCACGGGCCATAGAGCTGGCCAGCCAGGCCCCAAGGGAGATGCCGGGCCCAGAATCAGGGAGCCCCTTACCCGATCTCCTTTCTGCCCTTGCTCCCCGGGCTGTCCATCCTTTCCTGGAAGGCCTGGGGGGCCCTGCAGAAGAACAGACAAAGCAAGCTGCCGTCTGTGATCAGGAGCTCATTCGGCCGGAATGTTCTCTGGCTTCCCTGTCATTTATGTGACTCCAGTGACCTCCCGGCTGTTCAGACATGGGCCGTGGGACCCTAGTGTTCTAGACTAGCAAGCACTCCTGAGGCGAGGGAGGCCACCCTCTCTTTGTAAAGAGGAAGAAACTGAGGCCCGGAAGAAGGCTGAGTGACTTGCCCAAGGTCACACTGTCAGTAAGGGTCAAACCCGGGCCCTCCAACTCTAGGGCCAGAGCTCCCTCCCCATCGCCATGGCCTCCCAGACGGGTGGCAGAATCGAGTCCTTCCACAGTAACACAGGCCAGAAGCTGACCAGCCATTCCTGAGTGAATGACTGCGAAGCCTCTGAGCTAAGTGCCCTGGACACAAAAGGTGAGCCAGCCCCGCCCTCAAGGAGCGCACACTCTAACACAATATGACAGCCTTGCAGTTAACGTCAAAAGCCGTGGATGACCATCTAGGGCATCTGGGTTAGACTTCACCCAAAGTGGAGGGGGGTGAGGAGGAAGGGCAGGGGGCTAACCGGGGGTCCTCGGAGTCCGGGGGAGCCATCTCTGCCTGGCACCCCAGGAAGGCCTGGGGGGGCGGGGCCGTCGGTGCTGTTCATTCCAAACCGCCCTGGCTCTCCTGGCAAGCCTGGCACGCCTGGAGGCCCCGGGGGCCCTGGGAAACCTCGCGGACCCTGGAGAGTGTGAACAGAAAAAATGGATGTGTCCCAAGAACGGGGCGCCTCAGAGCAGGGCAGTGCCCGAGGCGACTCCAGGGTGATCTGGGCTGTTCCTGGTTCATCCACCTCGTCCGCCTATGACACGGGGCCTCCTTTGAGCATCTTCCCCAGCCAGCCCCTCAAGAACCCATCTCCAGCCCAAGAAACACTTATTTGCCCCCAACTTTTCAGGTCCCCCCAAAGCCAGCCCCTTCCCAGGCAATGACAATCACAGGGACCACCTTCACGAGTCAGCCTCTTTCCTATCCACTCCTGTGCCCTCTTCTACTAACTGGCCTACCTTAGTAAACACTGACCTATTTTAATCGGCTGATTCACTCATTCAGCCAATACCTTCCAGATGCTTCCTTCCCCTACTTTGGGGGGCATACAAAGATAAGTAGCTTATGACCTCTCCAGAGAGCTAGACCGGGAGTACAATGAACTTGGAGGCACAGGGGACAGTGAGGGATCAGGGTCACCTGCAATGTGTCCAGAGCCACGACAGGGCCTCGGTTAACTTCTCCAACCATGTCTAAAATGGGGTCTGAGGATTACCCTTTGAGTGAATCTCCCACCCCCTTCCCAGGCCTACTTACCCGTAGACTCTCTGGGTCCCCTCCAAAGCCAGACCCTTCCATGTCGATAAAAGTCTACAAACAGAGAAAAGGGGAGGGGGGCTGTGGAGAACCACTGACATCAGCTGCCCCCAGCCCTCAGACCTAGATGAGGCAGGATACGGCGGCCAAAGGCTGTGGGTAACAAGACTTCTGGTGTTTATCTCTGGTCCTGGAGCAGAGCCTGGCCTCTTGGGGCCCAGCACAGCAGACGTCCAAGTTTTCTCAGTTACTACTGCCCCAGGGCACAGCCCACGTCCCTCATCTGGGGACCAGCCCAGCTAACTCCCAGAAGCTTGTCACCAAACCCTCAGGTGATGGTTATTTTTTCTTTTTGTTTTTGGGTTTTTTTTTTTTGGTGGGAGAGGAGAAGGCAGGCACAAAACCCCCTGAGGATTATTTACTAAGGCATGGAGGGGTTTAAGTCAGCACCAGTGGAGGGCCTCTCTCTGCCTGATGGAATCACTGGTCTCAAGTATTAAATTCTGCTCTGACCCCTTCTGGGCCACGTTCAGACAGGAGGGGCAGGGATGACTGTCCCCAAGAAGGAGGAGCAGGCGTCTCTTTGGACATGTAGGGAGCCCTGACTGCAAGGAATGGGAAGAAGGAAAATGGAGCCATGGAAAAATCAAAGGGAGGGCTAGGGAGTGTTGCCAGACAGCATCTTGAATGGGCCAAAAGCAGGGTTTGGGAGCCAAGCTGCCTAGGTCAGAGGGGAGGACACTGGAGACCTGAGAGCACTGGCTGATCAGTGACAGTCATCAGCCAATCATGATGTATGTGATGCAAGCCCACTGATGCAGCCACCCCCGAGCAGGCAGGGGAGGAGAACCTGGACAGAGCTGAGCCCAGGCCCAGGGACTGGGTGGGGGGGGAAGGGCAGCAGAGCTGGAGGGGCAGAGGGACAGAGGGGCTGGGGGGCAGAGGGACTGGAGGTCAGAGCGGGGCAGGAGAACTGGGGCAGAGGATGGAGCTGGGGCAGAGGGACAGAGGGGCTGGGGGGCAGAGGGACAGTAGAACTGGGGGGCAGAGGGACAGTGGAGTCATGGGGGCAGGGACAGTAGAGCTGGGAGGCAGAGGGACAGCAGAGCTGGGGGTCAGAGGGACAGTAGAGTTGGGGGGCAGAGAGACAGTAGAGCTGGGGGCAGAGGGACAGTAGAACTGTGGAGGCAGAGGGATAGCAGAGCTGGGGGGCAGAGGGACAGCAGAGTCAGGGGGCAGAGGGACAGTGGGGCAGAGGGACAGCGGCATCGGCGGCTTTACTTGGGCCCTGGCCCTGTGAGCTGAGAGGGCTCTGAAGCTCCAGGGTGGCTGGAAGCCAGCCTCCTTGCCAGAGCTACAGTGCCCATCAGGAAGTAAGCACTCCCAGGGGCGCACAGGCCATCCTCGGCTCTGCCCAGCCCTCCATCACCTTTTCCACGCTAACACAGCCCTTCTCTTTCCTTGTTCTCTGGGGTCTGCCCCTGTGATTTCCCAGGGGGACGCAGCCCCCTCTGCCCATGTTGCTCAGTGGCACAGGGGCTCAGCGAGCTGCCTGGGGACCTGGTCAGCTAATTGACACCCCAGAGACACAGAGCCCGTAAGTGTCAGGCAATACTTGAACCCAGGGCTTCCTGACTTCTAGCCATTAGGGAATCAGAATTTTTCCCCCTTCAGGCTGGTCCTTTCAAATGGATTCTAAATGAAGGAGACCTGCCTGGCCTCGACCATCAGCTGGAGCCAGGGAAGAAGCCTGACCACTTTAATGAGCCTTCAGAGAGAGGGGAGGCAGCTGTGGAAGAAGCCGCTTGGCCACCAAAGGACCCAGATTCCAAGTGTGTCTCTGATGCTCACTCCCCATGGAGGGCAGGCCAAGCCACCAGGGGGCACCGTAGCGCAGAGAGGAAGATCCGAGTTCAAATCAAGCTCCATTTCCTTAGCTGTACCACAGGGATTATAACAGCACCCGCCTTGTAGGTTATTGTGAGGCTCAAACGAGATAATATTTGTGAAGTGCTCTGCATAGTGCCTGGCACACAGTAGGTATCATGCAAAGGCTACCTGGCACACAGCAGGTGCCATACAAATGCTACCTGATATGGTTATGATGATTTGACTTTGAATAAGGAACCAAACCACTCTGGGCCTCGGTTTCCTCATCTATAATGGCCTCTGAGGTCCCTGTCAGCGCCAGACCAGATCTGTGACCATCGCTCTCACCTGCCAGGGTCTTCATGTCATGGGCCCATGAGATTGGGCTGAGGGGGCTGGGAAGACTCCGGCCAGATTGGGAGCTGGGTGGGGAGGAGGGGGCAGGGTGGCTGCTTCCAGGTCTAAGGGGCTGACAGCTGGCCCAGGCCTGCCACTTTCCTGCCCTGTTCAACCCTACCCTCTCCTCCACAGCGGGAGATAAGATGCCAAGGGGCCATTTAGGCCCGGGGTCAGGACAGGCAAGGACAGCTGCCTCTGGCAGAGGCTGGAGGCCCGCTTAAGGGGGCACTGTTGCAGGGACAATTGCTCAGATATGGACCAGGCTCAATGGCCTCAAAGGTCCCTCCAGCCCTGGGCCCCCTGCACAGAGCTCCACAGGCCCCATGGGCTGTACAATGCTTGTTGGGATCACTGCCGTACGAGGACCCTGAAAGCCAGCCTCCCTGGGAGCAGGTGTGAGAGCAGGTGTGAGGGCAGGCGGCCAGCCTCGTCCGAGGCCATCTGCTGGCCTGGCTTCTCCCACTGCCTCTGGAAAGGGCCTTGCCATGGACTGAGCTGTTCAGCAGAGACTTTTATCCCATTTCAGCCATTAGTGATAACAAAACCAAATCCTGTTTCCCAACAGGCCAGCCAAAGGCAGGTTCCCTCCTGAGGTTCTCAGATCAATGTATCTTTTGTGGGAGATGCCAAAAAGCGGTGACTTACCAACTTGTCAGGTCTGAAAGCAGGTCCAGGAGGTCCTGGGGGCCCTGGTGGGCCAGGTGGGCCCCTCGGCCCAGTGCCAGGATCTCCCTGTTAACAAAGAATAACATGTCACGGGGATCTGCCACCCCTCAGGCTTGGCAGGGAAGTCTTCCCACGTCCCTAACCCCATGCTGCCCCTCCCTGTCCCCTCAGGAAGCCTCACCTTGTCGCCCTTGGGCCCCACATCTCCTGGAGTTCCTGGGAAACCCTGAGGCCCCATCTCACCCTAGAAGGAGGAAGACAGGAAGAGGTGACCGAACTTCCCATGATGGATGAGTGCCAGGAAGATCAGTCAGACAAGATAGTGTGTCTCTTGCACATGTTCTTTTGTACCCATTACACAGAATAGCGCCTCATTGTCCCCCACAAGTCAGGCCACTCTCCCTTCACAGATGAAGCAATTAAGAAGCAGCCTTCCCAAGACTCATCTGTGAGTAACCAGTGAGCTAGGGGATAGGGCAAGACGACAGAGACTCCCCCATGATTTCACCAGTACCTTGCTGCTGATAGCAGCCCCTTCTGGGCTCCACTCTGCTGGGGTCTGCAGGCATGGCTGGGACCAAAGTGATCCATGAGGAGCAGCCCATGACCAAACCTGCCCCACACATACTGGGCATGTCACAGTGAAGGATTGGGGGGTCACTTTGGGGACGAGATTGTGCTTTGCCATAGCCTAATTCTGTATGATTCCGTGCATGTCTTAGAGGGAAAGGAGTGCCCCATGATCACCAGTGATAACTCAGAGGCAAGAAGCCATGCATGACATGCATGATAGGGACAGGAATCCCAGCTGGGCAGCCCAGGGGCAGCACTGGTCCCCAGAAGCGGGCAGGCCTGCCTTCCGAGGGCTGAGCAGAGCCTCCGTGGAAGCCTGGAGCAAAGACCCTGGAAGGAGCAGCCGGCTATAGGCGGCTTCAGTGGCAGCAAGGCCCACGTGATGGCCCCTCTGGCCCACCCACAGGAGCCAGACCTTCAGGCCCTTGGTGTGCAGACTGCCTGCCTCGCTGGGCTACCCTTGAGGGGCAAGCACAGGGTATGATCCACTTGTTCACTGGAAAAGGCCATGACTGTGTTTTGTCAATATCTTTGCACAGACAGAGCCTAAAGTGATTTCCCAAACTCAACAGACATTCTGTCACTTTTACATTCAAAGGAGAAAGTGTCCGATAAACTTGAAGAGCAAAACGACTTTAGACAAGAACAGCTGGGAAAACCAGAAGGCCTTTTGGCAGAGATTGGGGTGAGATCAACATCTCACACCACATATCATGGCAAATTCCAAGAGGAATGTGTAACCTGGATATTTTAAATCATGCTTTTAAAAAAAGAAAAATCAAAGAGGAGAAAAGGGAAAACTTACAGGTTTTCCATCCTCACCAGGATCACCCTAGAGTGGGGTGAGAAAAGACATGAATGAGAGTAAGTAGCAACTGGTAATTATGTCTTGGAATGGGGTTTCCCCACGTTCCTCGGGGGACTTACAAAGGAAAGGTAAGGAAATGAGCTTTTATTTTCACGTATGGAGAAGTTGGATATGCCAGCTTCTGGGGAAAGGCAAAGCTCCTTCACTTGGCCATAGGGAGAAGAAACCTTTACTTCTAATTCTCCAAGGTGGGAAAGAGGACCCCCTCCCTTCCTTCAGCAGAGAAGGTGAAACTCCTTGGTTAATAGCCAGCTTCATGGTATCCTCCATGAGGCATGCTCCAGCCTGCCTGCTGCCACAGTGAGCTCCCAGTCTCTCCTAGGGCTTTCAAAGGCCCCTTGCCATCTTGGTTAGCCTACATTCCCGTGAGGCAAGCAGGAAATGAACACAGGAGCCTCATGGCATCGTTCAGGAGGAATCTGCTGTGGCCACTTCATTTCCCAGATTAAGGTAACCCACTGACCTTAAGAAAGGGCCCCAGACTATGAGGAATGGCATGAAACATTGACTTACAGGCTCTCCATTCTTCCCAGGGGGTCCAGTAGGCCCTGGGGGTCCTTGTGGCCCAGGCACCTGCTGCACCGTGGAACCATCTGGACTCGGGATAGCAGGGCCGGCGGGTCCCTGGGGACCAACAGGTCCAGGTGGGCCCTGGACCCCAGGTTCACCTTTCTGTCCCTTCAAGCCTGGAGACATGTATCTGGTACCTTCCTAAGGAGACAAGGGCACAAATTCAGGGAAAGTCACCAGTCCAAACGTCCAGCGGCCAAGATTGACAGGTGGCTGCTCTTTCTAGACAAGTGCAGAAAAATCCTCCTTGGATCTCATCTGAATGAGATCTCATCATAGTGACTACTGGGGGGTCTCCTACCGCAAAGTCTTCTCCAGCTGGTGTGTTTGAGGAGTGTAACACCAAAGTTGGAGTCCTCCAGATGGGAAGGATGCCTATCCATTCCCTTTTAGCCAGGCTCTTCCCGCCTGGCCACCTTGCCACACCCATTCCTGCCCCACATCTAACAGGGAGCTAGCACCCAAGACAGCCAGAGAGCTCCTCGCTGACTGGGCCAAGATGAACTGCGTCCTCAGGGCCTCAAAGAGCAGGCAGGTATGATTGGTGAGCCTCTGCTAGAGAGCCATGAAAGGTTATGGGAATGGAGGAAGCCTTTCCAGATCAGAAGTGAGGCTTTCTAGAGGCTCATTAGAAACAGCAAATGGTCATTTTAAAATATAGATTGATTTTGGGCTTTGGATGGGCTTAGCCCAAACACCTCCTCATGACCTGCTCCCTGACAGAGACAGACTCAGGGATTCTTGGGGGCATCTGCTCCAATCCATACCTGGTTCAGAATCTCTTGTCCAGTAGGTCCCCCAGAAATGCTCACCCAGCTAGGGCTTGAAGACCCTCCCAAAAGGACCACAGACTGAGTAAGAAGAGCTAATGTTTTACAGAACGCTCCCTATGTGCCAGGCACTGGGCTAAACACTCTACAACTAATACCTCATTAATCTTCACAACAACTATGGTCCTACCATTATCCCCATTTTACAGATGAGGAAACTGAGACAAACCAAGGTTAAGTGATTTGCCCAGGGTCACAGAGCTAGTAAGTATCTGAAGCCAGATTTGACCTCAGCTCCTCAGCTGCCAGAGCCCAGGCTTTTTCCCACTACATCAAGGGGAACCCTCCACCAGCCCATTCCATGGCCAGCCAGCATTAATTGGGAGGGAGATTTCTTGCCACCAAGTCCCCATCTGACTTTATGGTAAGCAGAGCCCTCTTGTCTCAGGCCAGGCAGGGGAGCATCTGTCTGCAGGGAGATACCTTCCCCTTCCTAGACTGACCAGACCCCAGAGACATCCCCAGTGGAGGCAGTAACTAAATGCTCTGGTTTCCCAGGTCCTCTTGCCAAGCTGTGGCCTGCCTGAGTAAGAATGACTCTGGGAACCCCTCCAGGTCATGGGAGTAGTGAAATTGGAGAGTGGGACTTGCCTGAGCCCCCCGCCTGGAGCCTGGAGACAGTGAGGTACAGCAGCTGCTCCCCCCGGTCTAGGCACGGACTTCGGTGGTCAGGGTGGCCACCTGCACTTACATTGAGGGGAGAGTAGAGAATGGGTGCCTAGCCCTGGGCCTCACCTCTGTTATTCTTCTGGCCTGGTCCAGTGTCCCTTCAGGCCTTGTGGGGCCTCTAGCCCCCTCCTCTCCACGGGAATCAAGCCGAGCTGGAAGGTGAAATGAGAACAAAGCCATGGATGGTGGCCAGGCCCTTTGAGGCGACCCTCACGGGTCCACCCTTGGCAGCCAAGTCAACATCGGGAGCCTGCTGGCTGGAGCCAGAATCTCAGGAGTGCTCACTGGAAGGGCCCTCGGGGGCCACACAGCCCAAGACGCTGCTTGTACAAAGCAGGCCACTGGGGCCGGGGGTGGGCCACACCTAGGATGTGGCAGGGCTGCCAGCCAGCTCACCAACCCCCAAAGCCTTGGGTGCTCGGGACCATCAGAGGACCCCAAATGTGGATCTGAAAGGGACCCTAAAGGCTGGGTCAAGGCCTCTTTTTAGCCACGCTCATAGTCACATGGGCGGTAAATGCAGGGTCCAGTATCCAAGCTCATTATAGGGCCAGAGCCATGGCCTGGAGGCTGGGCAGCACCCTGCCAATGCAGCCAATGTGGCTGATATGAGTTGAGGCCTGGAAGCTGGGCACTGCCCGGAGCCAGGAGGCAAAGACTCGGGCCAGCCACATTGCCATAGCAAGGCTGCCCAGAGGCCAGGCCTCAGAAACTGGCATCTTTTTAAAGTAAATTTTCATTGATCCTCCATTCCAATATCCCTCCACGTCCCCCCTACACACACACCTCCCTCATGGAGCCATACTTTATAACAAGAAAGGAGAAAATAGTTCAGAGGAAAAAACAAACAAAAGTAAAACTTGTTCATGCATCCAAAAACCCAGACCTGACTGAATGAAACACAAGTGGTTGGAATCCATCAATACCCCTAAACTAAAATTTCTTTCCCTATTGAACAGATCTGAGTTTCCCAGTAGGTGTCTGCCCCAGATTTCTTTATCAGCCCTGCCCTTCAAAGGCTGACTGAATAGCCCACAGGGAATGAGGAAATAGAAGGGGGAAACTTGTTCCTAATTGAATAATTCATTATTAATAGGAGAAAGAAATGATCCTTTCTTTCTTAGGACCTGATTTGAATCACAGTTGTTACTTAATGTCCATGAGACCTTGATCACCAAGAACATTTGGTTGAATCTAACAATAGGACAACATTTCAAAGGGGAAAAAAGTAAAGTCTCACAGCGGAGTTCAAAAATTCAAGGTCACTAGTACAAAAGAGAGAAGGCGTAGCACTCTGCTTCCACAGCCCCTCACCTTGCCAAGAAGCTGGGGCACCCAGTGACCAGGCTGCCCCTTCAAGGCCATGAACTTCACTGCTCCAGGAGCCCAGCTCCTGGCTGGGACCAAGTGTAAAAGACAGGAAGACACTTGGAGCTGAAAGGGTCCCAAGAAAGCCTGGAGCCCAGCTGCCATGCTTTGGAAAGGAGGAGACTCTGACCAGAAGTACAGGAGGCACAAAGGAGGCCCAGGGAGGCCCAGTGGTTTGCCCAGGGTCACAAAGCCCAGAAGAGCCTCGGGGGGGATTCAAAGCCTATCTTCTCTTCCCTCTCCCCGTGCTGCCCGTGAGGCCCTGCCTGCACCCTCCCTCCTGTGACCCTGCACGGCTGCCAAGGTGGGAAGGCTCACGGGCAGAGGGCATCTCCTTGTCAGGTGAGGTCCCGGGCTGCATTCCCCAGAAGCCGGGGCAGGAACAGAGCACAGATTGGGCAGTGTGTCCCTTGGTCAGCCCACCAGGGGGCACTGGTGCCCTTCCCTGAAAGGCTGGGACCAGCCTGGGCCGCACCAAGTCCCCAACACCTGGGGGCTCCTACATGGCTCCCTGGAGGCTTTCAGGCGTCGGTCAGACTGACAGATCTCAAACAGAGCCATCTTCTCTCCTGGGCAAAGTGGCCAGCAGACAGCCAGAATCAGGGGGCCCACGCTGAGCTAAGCTGGCCAAGGCTTCCAAGCCAGCCCCGACATGCCCCAATGGGCTCCTTTGGTGGCCTCTCCTTAGATGTGTGACCTTGGACAGGCTGCTGCCCTCTCTGGGCCTCTGGCCTCCTAGCTGTCCCTGAGATCCCATCCCCCCATGGCTGCCTTTCTGCCCCATATGGCTTGGCAAGGCCGTGGGCATGGCCCTTCCTTCTGCGGCCACCTCCTGCCCTCCCTGGAGGTCACCCTCCCTCCCCGGGTCTCTGGGTAGGGGGAAACGAGGTAAGGCAAAAGGAGGATCATGGCTCTGGAACCCAAAGAGACGTCAGAGGCCTTTCCATTCAGCTCCCAAATGTTTATAGGCAAGGAAACCAAGGCACAGAGCGGTTAAGCCGCCTGCCACACGGGAAGGAGGCACCAGAGGTGCTTCATTTCAGAGCTGGTGCTGTGCCCAGTGCACCACCCCGCCCACTGCCTCTCACCCATGAGACAGAAGTGAACATTCCAATGTCTCCGACTTGCCTTGATTTTCCCGGAGAACTAACCCTGAGCCAGTGCTGACAGCAGGGCACGGTGCCCTTTGCGGCCCGGGCTGCTCCCTGGGCCTTGTGTCTACCTCGCAGGTGAAGGGCCCCCCCCCCAGGACCAACCCTGTAAGGCCCCCGGCCAGGGTCTCATTAGCCTTCATTCAAGGCTGTGTTACCTCCTGAGGAAGATACGTGGGCGCCCTCCACCTTGACAAGGCCCGGCTGCAAACTCATGGTGGTCGTGTCCAGGGGCAGCAACGTGACTGGAGGAGGCATGGGGAGGCTGGGTGACAGGGGAGGCCCCTAGGGCAGAAGAGGGAGAGGTTGGGAGAGAAGAAAAGGTGAAGTTTCCCATTTCATGCAGCTGAGGCCAGAGGACCTGGGAAACACAGGGGGTGGTCCCTCAGTCTCCGTCTCCAACTCTGTCTCTCTGTCTGTCTCTCTGTGTCTGTCTGTCTCTCTCTGTCTCTGATTCTTTCTCTGTCTCTGTCTTTGTCTCTGTCTCTGTCTCTCTCTCTTCCTCTCTATCTTCGTCTCTTTCTGTGTCTGTGTCTCTGTCTCTCTCTGTCTCTCTTTCTCTCTATCTGTGTCTCTGTCTCTGTCTCTCTTTCTGTGTCTCTGTCTCTCTTTCTGTCTCTGTCTCTCTCTCTGTCTCTGTCTCTCTATCTCTGTTTCTGTCTCTCTTTCTTTCTCTGTCTCTCTCTCTGTCTCTCTGTGTCTCTGTCTTTCTCTGTCTCTCTCTCTGTCTCTCTTTCTGTGTCTCTATCTCTGTCTGTCTCTGTCTCTTTCTGTCTCTGTCTCTCTCTCTTCCTCTCTATCTCTGTCTCTCTGTCTCTGATTCTCTTTCTCTGTCTCTCTGTCTCTCTCTCTGTCTTTGTCTCTCTGTCTCTGTCTGTCTCTGTCTCTGTCTATCTCTGTCTCTGTCTCTCTGTGTCTCTGTCTCTCTGTCTCTCTCTCTCTATCTGTCTCTCTTTCTGTGTCTCTGTCTCTGTTTCTGTCTCTCTATCTCTGTCTCTGTCTCTCTCCCTGTGTCTCTGTCTCTCTCTGTCTCTCTCTCCATCCCCTGCTCCAACATCTCTCTGATGACGGGCTCTATGCTGCTCTTGCCATGTATGTCTTCACCAATTAGTCTTCCTTAGGCAGTGGGAGAGGCTGGGTCAGTGTCTACTCAGCACCCACGTCTTGTGTAAGTAGGTCGAGGCTCCCATTTCTGGTCTTTTCCTCTGACTTGCTGCTGATGTTGATGGCTGCGCTCACTGATGGCAGTGTGACTAGTCAGACACGCGATGTGAAAACAACTCCCACAGACTGAGAAGAAATGGGCAGAACTAGACAGGCAGAGGACTCCCTCAACTCTGACATTCTGTAATCCTGCCCACGGTCACGTGCAGCACGCATTCAAGGAATTTACAGGAGGTCATAATTAGAGGTGGAAGCAGGAGTGTACTGGGGCCAGCTCGAACCCGACAGAGAGAGACAATTGTTAAATGTTCAGAGCGAGCGTTTACGCCTCAGAAATTGGCAAATATTACAAAGCAGGGCTTGTTTGCTGTTTTGTGACTGTCTAGACTTAAAGTGGTGAAAAAGTATGCTATTGATGCAGCTTAAACACAAATGTATATCGCCTGTACTTCTTCCCCCAAAGAGCCGGTTGTTAAATGTTTACCAGCACACCTTTGGGTGGAAGGTGACCAGAGCAAGCATCTAGTCTACACTTGCTCATTTTATGAAGGATGAGCCCGAGGTAAAGAGAGAGACGCACTGTCCCCAATTACTCAGCTGTGCGATAGACCTTAAATAACTATAAATGCTGTTAATATCATTATCATTGTTGTTGCTGTTAAGGTCACAAACTCCCTGCCACACATAGACACACAAGATACATGTATGTGCATGCCCCCACATGCAACATACACACCACGCAGACACATGTATGCACATACCTGCACAGCACACATGTGACTCACATGTGCGCATACATCTGCTCAGGTTCCCCCAGACTTACCATGTCTGACCCTGAGGGTCCTCCCTGCTCGTCCGCTCCACTTCCAAAGTCTCCAGACGCCTAGATTGTTTCAAAATAAGAAAGAACAAAGACGGGTCCAGAGGAGCGCCATGCCCAGGAGCCCCAGGGAACGCTTGACATCCCGGGTGGGCCGCCTCTCAGAGCCCAGGTCTGGCCCAGCCCAGCTAGGCCGGACCTCCCTGGTGACTAGACACTTCTCACAGTATGTCCAAAGTTGTGTGCCCAGAGTGAGGGATTCACAGACAAAGCAAACACACACAGCCCCTGCCCTCAGGAAGCTTTCACTCTACCAGGGGTCCAACAAGGAACCAGAGAAGTAAGTGTCGGAGGGAGGAGCTGGGGGCGGGGCCCCGGACTTCCTCTGGGTCTGGGAGCACAATGATGCCTGCACAAACGCCTGGCCTCTTGCCCCCCGAGAGCACAGCGATGCCCACTGGGTACAGGGAAGGCTGTCCCGGGCCCAGCGACCAAGGTGGGGAGCACTCACGCCGTCACTGTCATCATCGTCATCATCAAGACACTGCAGCAGAGTCACCCGAGGGTCCCCTCGCATCTTTAACTCGGAGATCACCCCCTGAGCAAAGAAGGAAGCAAAGAAACGTCACAAGGAGCCCCGCGACGCTCGGCTGGGGGTGCCCAGGGATAGTGGCCATGTGAGATGGGAAGGCCACAGACAGAGCGGTGCCCCTGAGCCTCCCCATGGAGCCTGGGCTGTCCCACTCCAGCGACCAATCACGAACTTCCGAGAGATTGTGCTGCCTGGAGGAGGTGCCGTCTAGGAGGGGGGACTGAGAACCTGTGTGGACAGCCCGGGGGAGGGTGCAGCTTTGGAGGCTGAGGCCCTGTGTTCAAACCCTGCCTTTTGTGGTAGGTGTGAGCGGAGGCCTCCACTTCCCTCTCTGTAAAATGAGAGGGTTACAGGTGGACTCTGAACCTTCTGGCTCAGGAACCAAGTGGTGCCTGGTCAGGGCCCGAGGAGGCCGACTTCCCAGAGGTCTCTCATCAGTATCGTGGTCGACACTATACAAATGAGTGTGTGTAATGGGTTGGGGGGGATTCCCCAGATCCCAGCTCTTTATATCACATGGAAACCGTGAAGGGGAGAGGACAGAGAGCCGGCCTCGGGGCCAGGAAGACCCAGAATCCCTCCAGCCCAGCGGCTGGGGGCTCCAGGCGGCTTGCAGGGAAGGTGCCCACTCCAGTTCTACGGGGACCTGCCTGCCTCATGACATCCCAGGCCCAGCTCCCCATTTCTGCTTCTTTCACCGCCTTGAAAACCCCTCTGATGGCAACATTCTTTGGGAATCGCACCAAGAGAAATGTTAGCTCCGACTGCCCAAATGAAGGCGAATCTGGGCCCCCGGCCTAGGCTCCCACCAACCTGTCTACCCCCCACACTGAATGCCTATCCCCACAGCTGCTCCTCTCCCCCAGCCCTCCTCATCCCCTCCAGCCCCAGGACAGCCAGGGGATGGCCGGGGATAGTGGAGGCCAGAGATAATGAAGGCCAGACCATCCCCCCGATCCCTCCTCATCCCACCCAGCCCCAGGACAGCCAGGGGATGGCGGGGGCCAGACCACCTTCCCAGAAAGAGGAAGGAGGCCAGAGGAGAGATTGGGAGCCTTCCTCCATTTTGATCAAACCTGAATTGCCAAGGAAAGACGGGGTCCACAAAGAACAGTCCCTGCTTTTGTCCTGCCCTTACCATGAATGCTGGGCCCCAGGGGCTTGGACGCCATCCCTTCCTCAGGCCCTGTGCGCCTGACCACCTGTGGAGCTGTGAGCTGAGGAAGGGGGCACCTAGGTAAGGGGGCCAGGTGCAGCCCCGTGAGGTGCAGGTCCCCACGTCGCTCCCCCAGCCTTCTGGCGGCATCCCTGAGGGCACCCCACTGGCCGGGCCTAGCGCAGCAGCTGGCATGTCGCTGGCCTCTTAGCCCTCCTTCTGGCTACTGGACCATCCACCTCCTTCTCCTGACAATCACGGAATCTCAGAGCTGGAAGGGGCCTCCAGGGATGTCTAGTCCAACTGGGGCTGAGAAGCCCTCTTCAACATCCCTGGCACGTTACCATCCCATTCCTGCTTGAAGACCTCTAGTGAATGGGGAGCTCATCACCTCCCCAGGCAGCCCATGCCTCGGTGGGACAGTTCTCGATTTTAGGAAGTTATCCCCGGATTAGGGGCTACAGTCACTAGAGGTCTGGACCATACATCCTACTGGACATTTCCACACACAGCAGGGCCATGGCAAGGTAGAGAACAGCTCACAGCATCTACACCTCCCGGGAGTATGGTGGCAAATAAGACCAGAGAGTGCCATGTCACCGCCTCCCTCAAGAGCCCCCCAGGCTCCCCCTGGCCTCAAGGCAGGGCCAGCATGGCCTCTCTGTTCTGGTTCCCAGCTACCTCCTGACCCATTTCACGGGTCCTTTACTCGACCTTCCAGCCCTATGGGCCTTCCGGCTGCTCCCCCACCAGGTCTCCATCTCTGGGTGCCCCCACACCATCTCTGTCTCTTGGGGTCCCCATCATCCTTGGAGGCCCAGCTCTTCCAGCCCCATCTCCCTCGGCCCCCCTACTGGCTAGGGTGTGCCCCCTCCTGGGTAGCTGGGGGGCCCCTCCCCACCCCCTTTTCACCACAGAAGGTCAGGCCTGACATACAGCAGGAGCTTCATCAATGCTGATAACTAAAGTGGCAAAGAGAGAGGCCGCCTCATCCATCCCTTCTCACTGGAGCAGAGGAGGGAGGACAAGGGTGGCTTCAGGAAAGTACTGAGGGGTGAGAGCTGGGGGGACTAGCGACAGAGCCTCAATATTCTCAGGAAAGGAGGAGACCGGGGCGTGGCTGAGAGGGAGAGAGGCCTAGCTGAAGCTGGGGTGGAGTGGGGGGCTGGGAGAGAGAGGAAAGGGCTTAGAGTTGGGGGCAGGGCTGGGGGAGAGAGGAAAGGGCTTGGAGGGGGGCAGGGCTGGGGAGAGAGGAAAGGGCTTGGAGGGGGGCATGGCTGGGGAGAGAGGAAAGGGCTTGGAGTTGGGGGGCAGGGCTGGGGGAGAGAGGAAAGGGCTTGGAGTGGGGGGCAGGGCTTGGGGAGATAGGAAAGGGCTTGGGGGGGCAGGGCTTGGGGAGAAAGGAAAGGGCTTGGAGAGGGGGGCTGGAGGAGAGAGGAAAGGGCTTAGAATAGGGGGCAGGGCTGGGGGAGAGAGGAAAGAGCTTGGAGTGGGGGGCAGGGCTGGGGAGAGAGGAAAGGGCTTGGAGTGGGGGGCAGGGCTGGGGAGAGAGGAAAGGGCTTAGAATGGGGGCAGGGCTGGGGGAGAGAGGAAAGAGCTTGGAGTGGGGGGGCAGGGCTGGGGGAGAGAGGAAAGGGCTTGGAGTTGGAGGGGAGGGCTGGGGGAGAGAGGAAAGGGCTTGGAGTGGGGGGGCAGGGCTAGGGGAGACAGGAAAGGGCTTGGAGTGGGGGGCAGGGCTGGGGGAGAGAGGAAAGGGCTTGGAGTGGGGGGGCAGGGCTAGGGGAGACAGGAAAGGGCTTGGGGGGGCAGGGCTAGGGGAGAGAGGAAAGGGCTTGGAAGACTCTGGGGGCCTGGGATCAAGAAGCAGCAATGAAGAAAAAGACTCCTGAGGAAGTGTGAAGACTCAGGCCAAGAGAAAGGGCAGGAATTTCCAATTTCCTGACCAAGGAAATATTAATCACCCTCATCTTTCAGGGACACCCCACCCAGGGGTGCTGTCTACCAGGCAGCACTTTGTTATCCTGACTCAAAGTTCCTCATTTCACAGATGAAGGAAACTGAGGCCCAGAGAGGGGGGAGGGAAGGTGAATCACAAACCCAGAGGTCAATGTTCTATCATCCCCCTCCCCCGCAGCCACACCATCTGCCCTCCAGGCAGTGCCCCCTCCCCCCAGGTCCCCCATCCTCTGCACCCGCAGCATCAGTGTCAGGGCCTCCTGGGCTGTCCGTGTCATAGAAGCCACACCTCCCCCCCATCAACTCTCACCTCCTCCCTTATCTCACTCTCACTGCACTGGGTGTGGTGGGGTCTTGCTTTCACCATCTCGGGAATGCATATAAGGGTGTCTGGATGGAACTTGGCTCCAAAGCTGACAGATGCCCCTGCCCCCATCTGGAGACAAGGCTGCCTGGGGCCAGGCCCCCTCCCAACCTGGGGGTCTACGGTGAGACACCCAGGTGCCCCTCAGATCGTGGAAGTGGTCTGCAGGAGCTGGGCAAGCCAACTGAGGCACCTCCTCGGGCTCAGGGGCAGCTCCTATGGCAGACCCCAAGGAAGCAGACTTTGAATCCATGAAGGGAGCTGTGCCAGGACAAGAAGGAGGATGCAGGGGCAAGAAGCCCTGGGTCCACAGGTCAGCTGTCACTGGCTGGGAGAGCCGGGGCCAGGCAGCTCCCCGGGTCAGGGAGGCCACAGGAGACAAGCTCATTCACATGCCAGCAGCTGCAGAGCTGACTTCCAGCTTCCTCGCCTCCCCCAACCCTGCCGGGGCAGGGCAGAAAAAGCTGCCCCCAAGGAGACCCAGCTGGCTACAGACAAAGGCAGATGCTGCAGACAAGGAGACCAGAGAACAAAGTCAAGAGCCTCTGGAAGGAATCAGACCTAGCTCCCCGAGGCGCCATGCAGAGCCTGGTTCCCCACCCCAGAGCGGTACTGGCCAGAGGCCAGGACTGCAGCCTCCCTGGTGTGGGCAGAGGGTGGGGGCAGCACAGACTTCTAGATCTGGGTTCCCAAACACTATGCAGAGGCTAGCTGGGGAAAGAGCAAGACTGGGTCCCTCCCACTCCCCTTTCCCAAGCCTTGTCCCCACTTCACTGAGATTTCTCTCTCCAAGGTCACCCGCCATCTCTGAGCCTCTCAGTCCAAGGGCCTCGTCCTGTATCTCTGCACATGGGACCCTACTGATCACCCCGCCTCCCTCGGCTTCAGGGACACTGCTGTCCCTGGCTGACCACTCACTCTCAGGCTTCTTACCCCAACACCCACCAAGTTCCAAGACTCCACCTGGGTCCCTCCACTCCTTACAGCCCCTCCCTCATGGTGATCTCATCCAGTCCAACTCAGTCATTTAGTAACAAGTCTGTATCAGGGCTCTGCCCAGAACATCAGTCCCGATCCCTGCCTGCCTGCTGGATGGGCCTGGAGGCCCAGAGGTATCTCAGACTCAACGTGCCCAGCCCTGCCTGCTCCCTCCCACCGGTCCCTACTTCTGTCAGGCATCACCGTCTTTCTTCCACCTGGGTTCCCATCCTCATCTCCCTACGCACACTCCCCTCCTATCTCCAATCTGTGGCCAAATCTTATCTTTTCTACCTTCCCCAAATCTCTTCTAGACACCATGGGCACCCCCGGGGCGGGGTCCTCCTCTCCTTGTGCCTGGACCACAGACTCCTGCAGCCTGCTGGCCCGTCTCCCTGCCCCTCCTCACTCAGATGTGTCTGTCCTTCACTCAGCTGCTGAAGGGACCTGCCTAGTGTGGGCCTGATCGCCTTACTGCTTCCTAAGAAATGCCTGAGGCTCCTTATTACCTCCAGGAAAAAGTCAATCCTGCTCTGCCTTGTGGCTTAAAGCAGCGCCTCCTCCCTGCAGCCCCCAATCTAGATCCCTCCACCTTTCCTGCCTCATCTCATATTAATCCCCCCCAAGACCTTTGTGTTCCAGCTGGGCTGGCCTGCTGCCTTCCTTCCCTCATCCATGGAGAGCCTTCTTACCCCCTTGGAATTCCTGCTATCCTCCAAGGTTCAATTCACCTGCCACCTCCTCCAGGGAGCCCTCCCTGATTCCTCCAGATGGGAGGTTCCCTCTCTCTGGTGGAAACCACCTTGCCATCTTTGCAGCCGTCTCCACTGACTTAGCAGGGTCTGGGCTGCACCTTTGTGGCACGCGGCAAACACCTGGAGGGTAGGGGCTGTCTCTTACTTTTCTCTTTGTATTGCCAGAGCTCAGCGCAGGCCTCTGCACAGAATAGGCTTCCTAAGTGGTTTTTCATTCACTTATTTATTCACTCACTCATTCATTCTTCCATCCATCCATCCATCCATCCATCCATCCATCCATCCAACCACTCAGGGGGCATCCTGGGGGAGCTCACAGAGGAGAAGGAAGTAAAAAGGCAGGCTGTTGTCAGCATCTCACGCTTCCTCGGGGAGGGGGGAGGGGATGGGCCAGTGACCAGCCACCACCTGGCCAGCGGGGAACTTTGAGCCTCCCTAGCCTTGCGATGGCCTGACAGGAGGATGAACACCAGGAAGCGGCCAGCTCTTGGAGCGCTGGAGGAGAAACGGGAGGACCATTGGATAGGGACTCGGTTGTTTTCAGCTGAGAAGAATGAGGGACACTGGACCGTGCTCATGGGCAGAAATGGGGAGAGAATACGGGTGAGGGGAGGGCTGATGGCCACAGCAGGGCCCCAGGGAAGAGGGGCTGGGCTGGGAGGGGATGGGCCTGGGGGCCGCAGCGGGACAGCCTGGGCAAGGTGGGGAGGGAGGGGATGCTCAGTTTCCAGCACAAACAGGAGGCTCAGTACAGCTGCTGAAGGGAGCCTTGGCTCAGATCCTAAGCCCTGGAGTCACAAAGACCAGAAATTGCCTTTGTAAATATTAGGAAATGCCAGTTTACCAACTGACAAACCCGTGAAAGTCTGGCATTTCTGTAAGTCGGTGGTGTTTGCCCCGCTGTTAATTAAGCCGAGAACAGGGGTTTGCTGCCTCACCGGAGGGCAATAACGAAGCAGCTTTTGGTTCGTTTCGTTTCCAGCTCAGCGGCTCCTGCTGGCTGCGAAGCAGGAAGGCAAGAGACCATTCATGGGAGGAGGCGGCCCCAGGAGGGGCTGGCACCTTTAGCCATTGAGGCATATGCCTCCTAACCCTGGGGGCACCTACAAAGAGCCTACTGTGGGCCACATACTGTGCCAGGACAAGGACAAAGACAGCGATGACCATCCCTGCCCATCCTCAAGGAACTTACAGTTGGGATGGGGTGGAGGACGATGTCATGGAGAGAAAAGATGCAGAAACACGAGGTCATCTGAAGAGGATTGGGCGCTGCCAATGGTGGGGGCAGGCTGGGCAAAGGTGAGACCCGGTTCTGGGAGGCTTTGCTGGGGAGGGGCCCAGCACCTGGCACAGAGTGACCCCAGCAGGGTGGGATAGGGCGGGCACCAAGGACCACAACTGACAGAGTAAAGGGTGGAGGTAGGTACAGATCCTAAACTCGGCCGTTGGCCAAGTTTCTGGCAATGGCGGGATGGTAAGGTAACCAGAGTAAGGAGTGCAGAGCATGAAGCCTGTGCGGCTCGATTAAGTCTTAAAAGCAAATTCAAATCAATGTTCAGTTTTGCCGTGGGATGGATCAGGGAGCACAGAGGGTCACAGAGTGCCCAACAAGGTGGCGCTGGACGCGGGACCACAGAGTCACACCCTGAACTCCTGAACCAGCAAGGGGTGAAACCAAAGGTGAACATCCAGTGCCCACGATACCCTCCGCGGGTCTCCCTGCTGGGTCATTCTGAAGGCCATTTCCAGGGACCAAACACTCACAGGACAGAAGGCAGCCTAGGGGTCATCTACCAACCCGCCCATTTTACAGATGAGGACACTGAGACATTTCCAGGGTCTTGGCAAGATCAGTAAATGGCAGGTCCTGTACCATGGCAGGGCTGGACCCATGAGCTCCACTGTCCTTCCCAGACCCAGCCCTTTCGATTCCGCCCCAAGTCTCCCTTTGGCTCCCTGGAGACCAGTGCTCTGATGACTCCTGGTCAGAGGCAGAACCTGGCTTCTTTTTTCTTTTTTAGTGAAAAGCATGACTGCCTTTTTAACCTGTTTGGAATCCTATTTGACACCCACTGGGAGCATTCCTGAAGCTCCTGCAGCCTGAGATAAAGAGCTGGGAAGCTGTCTTATCTTGACATGGTGTGAGTTAAGTCAACCACAGCCCCTGGGCATGCTGGCTGAAGGTGCCAACTACTTGCCCAGAACTTGTGACCCGCAGGCTTTCTGCTCCTCTCGGGCCTGGGGGGCTGGGCCAATGGCCCTCAACAGCCCCTGTACCAGACCTCCCCAAGTCAGGGCTGGAAGGGCCCTCAGAGGCATCTGGCCCAGCCAGGGCATAAATCCTCAATCTGGCCTGCAGCCCATGCTTGGAGACCTCAGGGAAGGGAGCTCACTACCTGCTGGGGCACAGCTCTCCAGGGAAGGGATGGCTCTTGACCTCCAGCCCATCGGGACCAAACACAACCAGACTGTCCCTCTTCCCAGAACAGGCCTTCCATGCGTGAGAGGCAGCCTGCCTGAGCTTTCTCTCCTCCTGGTTAAGCATCCTTCTGCCTTCATGGAGCCTCAGTTAGGATGAACCTGATGCTCTGCCCTCTGGACACCCCCAGACTAACCCAGGCTGCCCAAAGCTGAGCAGAAGCATCCCCAGGGGTCTGAAGTGGGTAGAGGTAGCATACTGTCCCCTCCCTGTCTGGGGTCTGCAACTGTGACCTCCTCCCCCAGGAGCCTGAGAACTCAGAGTGCCATGGGGCACCAGGAGATGCGCCTTGCCTGGGGTCCTGGCCAGTATGTGTCTGAGGCAGGACTTGAACCCAGGCCCTTAGTTGTGGGCACTATCCCCCTCCTGTCCCTCACACTGACTCTCCTAGCCAGCCGTGGCCACGCCTTGGCCCTGCTCACTCCTGCCCCAACATACCCATGTGCACACACACACCACAAGGATGGATGGATGGATGGATGGAGGGATGGATGGATGGATGGATGGATGGATGGATGGATGGATGGAGGAAGGGATGGATGGATGGATGGAGGGATGGATGGATGGATGGAGGGATGGAGGGATGGATGGAGGGATGGATGGAGGGATGGATGGATGGAGGGATGGAGGAAGGGATGGATAGAGGGATGGAGGGATGGAGGGATGGATGGATGGATGGGTGGGTGGATGGATGGATGGAGGGATGGGTGGATGGAGGGATGATGGATGGAGGGAGGGATGGGTGGATGGACAGGGCCTTGGGCAGCTCTCTCTGGGAGACTCAACAATGCCTTTATCCAGATGCAAATGCTTCACATGGGGCAGATGAATCGCCCACTCCCCTCCCAACTCCCAAACCCTGGAGCTCCCGGCTGGTAAGGGGGCCCGTCCGCAGAACAGTGCTAACAATGGTGGGGGGGGAGGACCCCACAGGGGTGGCTAGTCCTGCTCAAGTGCAAACCACAATCCACGGTCCTTTTGCTGTGACTGGCTACCTGGTCACTGTGGCTGTAATTGCAGAAGTTGTGGTGAGGGTAAGAAGGACTAAATGTCAATCCATCCACCCCATCCTGTGCCCTGAGGGATCACGGGACTACATGGGCTCATAGATCCAGAGCTGGCCGTTGAGGCCACAGCCTTCTTTTCCAGAAGAGGACTGAGGCCGGAGAGGCAAGGCCTTGCTGAGGCTGAGTCAGCAGGGCTTTCTCTGGACCGAAAGCAGCTCAGACCTGAGGCTAGGGCGTGGGGGAATTCTTCCATCACTGGAAGGCAGGAGAGAAGCCCAGTAAAACAGTCAGCTAGTCAAGCAACATTTATGAAGCACCTACTATGTGCTGGGCACTGTGCTAAGTTCTGAGGATATAAAAAGAGACAAAGACAGTCCCTGGCCCCTTGGGGAAGACAACATCACACGAATCTGTCCAAACAGGCCATAAATAGAAATAATGAACAGAGGGAAGGCCCTGGAATTAAGAGGGGTTGGGGAAGGCTTCCCGTAGACGGGGCTTTAATTAGGACTTAAGAAAGCCAGGGGTTCTGCGGTCAGAGCAGAGGACAGAGAGCGTTCCAGGCATGGAGGGCAGCCAGAGAGAGTGCCCAGAGCTGGGAGATGAACACAGCCAGGAGACCAGAGTCACTGGATCAGAGAAGACTAGAAAGGGAGGAGGGGGCTGACTGCTGAAGGCTGTGAAGGCCACACAGAGGATTTCTTTCAATCTCGGGGCCACTGAGGAGGGCTGACACGGTCAGACCCGTGCTTTGGGAAGATCCCTGTAATGGCTGAGCGGGCAATGGAAGGAGGGAAAGAGGGAGGGAGGAGAGAGAGGTGAGCAAACAGATGGCAAAGAGAACTGGATGGATCTCAGAGATCAGGAAGGGCAGGAAGTCGAACGTGTGGCCCTGGAAACGGGGGCCGATGAGGCAGACGTGGCCCTCAACTCCTGGGCCGACTTCCATAGTGATTTACAGTCTGACAGACAAACAGCTCACCCAGAGCTACAGAGCACCTCCTCGAGCCAAGGGCCTGTTTGGGCTCCTGAGGACAAGCCCTACCCTCTAAGGATCCAAGACTCCAGAGGCCAGGCCAAAGGACCAGACTGATGTTCAGGAAGGAGGGTCTCTGAGCAAAAGCTAGAATCCCCCATCTCCTCATGGGATGGGAAATGGACCCTGGGCTGGCAGGAACAAGTAAAGTGGGGGTCCTCACCCTGCTTGGCAGAAGGTTCACTTCCAAAGGATCCCGAGGATATGGAGGGAAGGAAGAATCCAACAGTCTATCCCCATTCCTTGCCTTTGGGGATTGGGATTTCTGAATCAGCAGCTCGCCTGATTAGCTGGGAACGAGGGGTCAACACAGCTGGGTTCCTACTCTCTGGATGTGCCACTAACAAGACAAAGTGACCATGAAGCCTGAAATCACATGAGCTGCAGAAACCATCATGTTCTCATGGTAAGTTCTTTATTTTTGCTGAACAAGAAACAGAAAGGATTGCTTTTGAGTGAAGGTTATTACACAGGTTTGCAGGGATGCCTTAATAATTAGTGTACTGTGTAGGCACGGTCTTTGGGGGGCCGGATGGGGTGGGGGGGAGCTGCCTCTCAGACCCAGACATGATGGCCAGAAACTTCCTATCCTGGTTTGGGGGTGCTCCAGGGGAGACTGCAGATATCTACAAAGATAGCGTCGGAAATCAAAGTGAACTTGACTACACCTTCCAAAGAATCTGTGTGGTAGGCGGCCCCAAGGGGGGGGCGGGGAATCCCTGAGGCCGTGGGCACACTGGCTCCAGTCTCCTCCAAAGCGGGGTAGGGGGAGCGCTTTTCCCCAGAGCAGTGAAAAGGGAGGTCCAGCTGTGGCCAGAGGGAGAATTCCTAACCCAGCAAGGCTGAGAAGGAGCAAAAGAGAGAAGGATAATTCTCACTGTGGGAAACTGAGAAGCTCTGAAATCTAAAAAATGCTTCTGGCTAAGGAAAGAAGTCTTCAGTCAGGGAGAGAAAGGCAGGTGAGCCACACATCTCTGATGGCCAAGACCAGCTGACAGCCCCACACACACTCAGCGCAGTGTCTGGCATACTCGGGGCACCTCAGAGATGTTTAGTCATTGATTATTGTTCAGTTATAGACTGACTAATGGACTGCTGGTGGAGCTGCAAATTAGCCCAATCATCCTTGAAGCAATTTGGAATTATGGGAAGAAAGTGACTGAAAGGTCCATTTCCTCTTAGCCAGTGATCCCACTGGTAGATGTTACCTCAAAGAGACCATTGACAAAGAGAGAGGCTTCAGACACTCCAAAATACTGATAGCAACCCTCTTTGTGGTAGCAAAGAGCCAGGAACAAAGAGATGCCCACTGGTAGAAGAATGGCTGGGCCAGCTGTGGTCTGCGCTGCAAGACGCACTGAAGAGCAAAGATGCAGAGAGGCTGGGGAAGACTTGTCTGAACCGATGCAGAGGGAAGTGGACACGGCCCCGCCCTCCTAGCCGTGGCCAGCCCGGGTGAGGCAGCCGGACCCCAGGGACAGACAGGAGGCAGCGTAGATCACCGCCATCCCTCTGGGAAGGGAACATGCCCCTCGATCTGTACCAACAGGGCACCAAGGACCATTGAGGAAGCAGTTCCTCCTGAGTGAGGGAAGTGGGGGCCAGAACTCGAGGGGTAAGAGAGAGACAATGGGCAAGTAGGGACACCAACTGTGTAGATGACTTTTTGAGTTTATCAGCAAAAGGGCGCAGGGAAACCTGTTTTGGGAAGAGGGAGGCCTGGACACTTATTAGCAGAGGAGAAAAAGCCAGGAAGACTCCTGGGGCGGGGAGGGGGGTGCCTCCTAAAGCTAGGTCCTGGAGGACAGAGAAAGAATGAGGCCAAGGGTGCAGAAAGGGGGCTCTGCCTTGGCAAGGAGGAGAGAGGAAGGAGCCTCTGTTGTGGGGTTGGGGGGAGTGAGGACAGAAGAAAAGGTGCCCACAGTCACAGTGGACAGCAGGACTGTGGCACGGCCCTGAGGGAGAAGGTGCATTTCACTACGTCGGGTGGTTGTGTTTTAATCAGGGCACGTTTTAAAAATCCCAGGACTTCATGCCACTCATCATCTGGAAGCCTCCTCCAGGGGGATGAATGAGGGGGAAAAGCCAGGTTATCTGCCCCAACTTACTTCAGAGCAGTCTAAAGCCCGAGGGGCTGGGTGACTGAGGGCCTCGCCTCCCCTCCCCCTCCGAGCTTTCCCTCAGGGTCATCAGCTCCCACGGCTTCCTGGGCATCTTCTTGATGCTGATTCCTACACCTGCTTACGCAGCCCTGATCTCTCTCCTGCCCTCCACTCTCATGTCTCTCCCCCTCCCCCCTCCTACTGGACATCCCAAAGACGTCCCAGACTCACAAGCTGATCCCATTCTCTTCCCACCACTTTCCCCTCTTCCTCACCACCGTTCTCCTGACCCCCGAAGCAGGCCAGGTGCCATCCCCCTCCTGAACCACCCAGCCACATCAAGTCAACTGCCTTGGTGACATCCCTGGTATCCGCCCCCTCCTCTCCTGTGCAGGACTTCATCCCCTCAGCCTGGACTGGGCAGGGAGGGGGTGGGGTCTGGCTGCCGCGAGTCTCCCCCCCCCCGCCCACTTTGTTGTATAAACATCTGTGCTCCCCTTTACCTCCAGGAGCAAACACAGAACTCTCTGCTTGGCGTTCACAGCCTCGGAGCCGTCCCCTTCCTCCCTTCCCAGGCTCCTCTTGGGTCCCCTGCTCCCGGCCTCCTGCTGCCCCCCAAACCAGACCCTCTGTCTCAGAGCTCTGGGCATTCTCTCAGGCTGCTGGCCCCCAGGCCCACAACACTCTCCCTCCTCCGCTCTGACCACTGCCCTCCCCGCCTCCCTGCGAGTCCCAGCATCTCTAAGAAGCATTCCTCGACTCCTTTTCAGGCCAGCGCCTTCCCTCAGCAGCTATTTCCAATTGTATCCTGCAGACAGCTGCGCCGCTCGAGGGCCTTTCTCTGTGCCCTCAGCACTTGGGACAATGCCCGGCACACAGTAGGTGCTCAATAAATGTTGCCACTAACGACTAACGCAGACTTCTGTGGGGTAGGAGCCGGGGCTTCCAGCAGGGAGGCTCCGAGGACACTGTTACCAGTGGGTCAGGAAAAGCTTGGCGTGGCTTTTTCACCTTAGTCCATCCCATGTTTGACTTGGGAATGCAGAGCGAGCACCATCCGGCCTTCCTCTAACGGGCACTGCCCCCTCCCAGGCTGGCCTCACTGAGGAGCCGGGGCAGGAGAAGGATGGCCTGCCGCTGGACTCGTGACCCCTTCCCCAAGGAGGGCGTGGCCCATCTGGGATGCCCAGGGACTACCAGGAGCCTTTGCTGTGGGCCCAGCATGGCCCGAGGGGAAGGACGGTGCTCCAGCAGAGTGCTACAGAAGAGGCCGGCATGCCCTGCTAGTGGGGAGGGCAAGAAGGTCCCTGGAAGTCAAGGGGAGCTGCCGTGGTGCTACACCACACCCCGGCACCACTGCTGCCTTCTGGACCAGTGGGAGGATTGGCCCTTGCTCTACCCATCACGGCTTACTCCACAAACACTGTGGTCAAGTGCGGCATGCGGCCTTCCCACCATCTACCCGGGAGCTGTGCTTGTGAGGTACCTACTGTAAGCCCTGCTCAGGCTAGAAGGTGGGATACAAAGACACACAGACAGACAGATACACACGGATGCACAGACACACACACACCACATGCACAGACACACACATACCACCCACAGAAACCCATATACACTATATACACACAGACACGCACATAGACACACACAGAGCACACACACACACACACACACACACACACACACACACACACCACCACACACACCAGAGACATGTACACAGACACAGACATGCACACACACATATACCCTCAGACCCTGCCCTCAAAGAGATTACATTGTGCTGGGACAGAACACCCCCCCCCATCCGCCTCGTCTGGCCTGTCCACCCTGTCCACCTCAAACTGAAAGACGGGTCATGAGAGCCTGAGTCCAAGGCCATCTGGGCTGGGAGGCAGCAGTGAAGGCCCCTGGACCGGGCACAGCCCTGGGATCTACCAGAAATGTTCAGGAGCTCTGTCTGTGGGGAACAAGGCTGTCCCTTGGGTGTCATCTCTGTTCTGGGGTGGCCTCTTCCTCCAAAGGTCAGACAACAGATTCTCACAGAGACCCCGTGACGCGTCGAGGCCCCATACCTAGAGCAGCAGGGCCTCCAGGGAGGGGAGAAGTAGGCCAGAGCCAGGCTGCATGGCCCCCCAACAAGCAGGAGCTCATCTGACTAGGAATTGACCCTCTGTTTCCCGAGGCCTCTCCCGGACCTGCCCCACAGCACAACCAGCCCATGGTGTCTCCACCATAGGGATCCCTTTCCTCTCCATGGAGGACACCTTTCAAAGTGAGGAGAACCCCCTCTGGAAGCTGAGAACCCAAAGCCAGGCAAGGCATCTGCTGGTCCCTGCCCATGGAGGCAAAGGAGAGGCCAGGGAGAAGCCCCATGTTCCAGCCTTCCTCCCAGGGAAGGCCACAGCTCAGCCACCCCCTACGCCAAGCTCTCAGCCCCAGGGCAGGTGCTGGTCCAGGCTGTGGCACCGAAAAGCCCCCAGGAGCACCTCTCAGCAAGAGTGAGCCGGAGGCCGGTGCCCAGACTTGCCTGGGAAAGCAATGTGGCCAAGGGACCCAGACGGGGCTCCGGTGTCACCGGACCTGTGTTCAAATCCTACTCCTGATGCAAAGCCAGGCGTGTGGCTTTGGACAAGTGCCTTCCCCCTCTAGGGAAGGTTCCCTCATCTGTAAAATGAGGACTTGGATGGGCCTCCCCGCTCTAAATCTCGGACTCTCAGTTCTCTCTGTCGCTATCCCAGACACCCAGGATTCATGGAAACCTTTCCTACGTGGACTCCGCCAATCCTCACGAGAACCATGCGGGCCTTGGACCCATAGAGATGACAGGGCCGAGACCTGTTCTGGATGGCGGGAAGGGGCCTCACAGACCCTGTGGTCACATACGCACATGCACACGCACAGCATGCAATAAGGCTGCAGCTTACAGCTCCTGCAGCATCACAGAATGCAGGAAGACACAAGAGGAGAGCTTGATTCCTGCCTTGTTTTACTGAGGAAGAAACTAAGTCCCAGAAAGTTGACAGGGTCCCAAAGAAAACCCATGGCAAAGGGAGGATTTGAACCCAGGTCCTCGGACACCAAATCCCACGTGCCTCCCCAGCCAGGCTGCTTCTTGAAGGCAAGGACTGTTTTTTCTTGGATTTTTGTTATCCTTGGAGCTTAGCCTAGTGCCTGGACATCTAGAGGACACCTGCCTGCCTGACCCTGCCCCACAGCTTTTAGAGTGCCCGTGTCAGGACTTTCAGCATCAGCAGAGACACAGGTGAGCAACCAGTCTGGACTTTTTTTTTTTGAGGCAATCGAGGTTAAGTGACTTGCCTAGGGCCACACAGCTAGTAAGTGTCCAAGGCTGAATTTGAACTCAGTCCTTTGACTCTAGGGCCAGTGCTCTAACTACTGAACCACCTAGCTGCCCCAGACTCGTCTCTGTGACACATGAGGGCTGGAAAAGCCCATCACCTGGTGGGAGTCCCTCTGGCAACCAGCCCTTCCAGAGGTCACCTGGCAAGTCTGCAAAGAAGTCCCATGCAACTCCCCCACCACCTCCTGCTCTGTGCTAGAACCCTCCCTGAGCTGGTGGAACCTTCCAGAGCTCTGGCTCCACTTGGAGGACCTCAGGGCACTTCCATACAGTGACAGGTCACGGCGTTGGACATTGGTGCCAGCCTGCCAGGCAGAGGCTATGGCAATGCTGCCCATGAGGCATTCTTGGAGGACCATGGAAGCTCTGAAACTTTCCCAGGGGTTCTAAACCATCCCCAAAGAATCCCAAAGCTCTTGGCGGCCTGTCTCAGCCCACAAAAATCCTCTATGGGAGCCTGGACCCCTCCCATGAAAACCAGAGCTGGCCCAGGCCCTGGAGGTCCCTGGATTGGCCAGGGTCCAGTTCTGCCTCCAATCATGCCCCCAAGGACAGGCTTGGACAGGAGCAGCCTCTGTGAATCAGGCATCTAGAGTTCAGACTTCAGGAATGGGGGATGCCCCCTCCCATGCTAAGCACCCCTCCTCCTGGATGTCCCCTCCAACACTAGGCGCCCCCTCCAGATGCCCCCTCCTCTTCTAGGTACCCCCCTTAGATACCCCCTCCCATACTAGGTGCCCCCCTGGATGCCCCCACCCCCTCTAGTAACTCCCCCTCCAAATGCCCCATCCCCCTCTAGGTACCCCCATCTCCCCATCGGCACACTCATGTCCAGGAGGGGCTGGCTGCAGCACCCCAGATGACCAGCCCTCCATCTACTTCCTTAAGCCCACCCCACCTGCCACCTGGGGGAGGGCTGGGAAGGGGACAGGAGGGGGTCCTTGGCCTCCTTGCTCCCCGCAGCCAGCACCAGGGCCAGCTGGGTTTCCCTGGGTGGGACAAGGATGTCTTACCTGGAACTTGTCGGGGTCGGCTCCTCCCGCCTGGGCCACAAAGAGGCCGGCACCAGGCTCCAGCTCCAGCTCCTGCAAAGACCGGTCCAGAGGGAGCCTCTGGATCTCCTTACAGTTCACGTACAGGGCAACCTCGTCGCCATCCACACTGATGGCAAAGCGCGTCCACTGGTTCACAAAGGACGGCAGGCTGAAGCTGGCCGCCGTGCGTGTCTCCCCGACACCCGGCTCCGTGTAGAAGAAGAGCACGTCTTGTTTGCCACTGTAGGGTTCTGAGATCTTCACGCCCATAGCGATGACCGCCTGGGCTGCGTCGGTGAGTGCCAGCAGCACCCCGGCCCGCTCACTGGTGGGCTTGATGTGAAAGAGCAGGGAGAAGTCTCGGTAGAAGGGGTTGGGCACGTGGTACCGCGCCACCTGGCCACTGTTGGCATTGGGCCCAAAGACGTAGGCGAGGCCGATGTCAGGGTCATCAATCTGGGAGATGTGCTTGGGGGGAGGCTGCCCAATGAGCTGAGGGAGGCTCACTTCGGCACTGAAGTTTTCTGGAAAAGAAGAGAGATGGTGTTGTCTGTGAGATCTGGTGAGGCGCAGAGCCAGAGATGGCCAAAAGGCTGCCTGCCAGCCACCCTTGGGGACCCCCACACCTCTGTGGAGCAGGCTTGGGAGTGGGGAGGATCAATGGAACAGATTAGGCACACAAAACACAGGAGTAAATGACCATCGTAACCTACTGTTTGATAAACCCAAGGACCTCAGCTTTTGGAATAAGTCACTCTTTAACAAAAACTGCTGGAAAAGCTGGAAAACAGTATGGCAGAAACTATGCATAGACGAACATCTTACACCCTCTACCAAGGTAAGGTCAAAATGGCTAAAGAGTGACATCATAAGCAAATTAGGAGAGCAAAGAATAGTTTACCTGTCAGATCTATGGAGAAGGGAAGAATTTATGACCAGACAAGAGATAGAGAACATTACAAAATATAAAATGGAAAATTTTGATTATATTAAATTAAAAAGGTTTTGCACAAACAAAATCAATGCAACCAAGATTGGAAGGAAAGCAGAAAGCTGGGAAACAATTTTTACAGCCAGTGTCTCTGATAAAGGCCTCATTTCTCAAATATATAGAGAACTGAGTCAAATTTACAAGAATGCAAGTCATTCCCCAATTGATAAATGGTCAAAGGATATGAACAGGAAGTTTTCAAACGAAGAAATCAAAGCTATCTATCAGCATATGAAAAAAAATGCTCTAAATCACTATTGATTAGAGAAATGAAAATCAAAACAATGCTGAGGTACCACTTCACACCTATTAGATTGGCTAACATGACAAAACAAGAAAATGATAAATGCTAGAGATGTGGGAAAATTGGAACACTAATGCATTGTTAGTGGAATTGTGAACTGATCAATCATTCTGGAAAACAATTTGAAACTATGCCAAAAGGGCTATAAAACTGTGCAGTCTTTGATCCAGCAATATCACTCCTAGGTCTGTATCCCAAAGAGATCATACAAGTGGGAAAAAGACCCACATGTACAAAAATATTTATAGCAACTCTTTGTGTGGTGGCCAAGAATTGGAAATTAAGGGGATGCCCATCAGTTGGGGAATGGCTGAGCAAGTTGTGGTATTTGAATGTAATGGAATACTATTGTTCCATAAGAAATGATGAGCAGGTGGACTTCAGAAAAACCTAGAAAGACTTGTATGGACTGATGCTGAGTGAAATGAGCAGAACCAGGAGAACTTTGTACACAGTAACAGCCATATTGTATGGTAGTCAAGTGTGAATGACTTAGCTCTTCTCAGCAACACAAGGATTCTAAGAGAGTTCTAAGAGAATCATGACAGAAAATGCTATCCATATCCAAAGAAAGAATTGATGGACTTTGAATGCAAATTATTTTCACTTTCTTTATCTTTTTCATTTTGGTCTATTTCTTCTTTTACAACATGACTAAATGTGGAAAAATGTTTTACATGATTGCACACGCACAACCTATATCAGACTGCTTACCATCTTAGGGAGGAGGAAGGGGAGGGAGGAAGGGAGAAAAATTTGGAACTCAAAATCTTATAAAAATGAATGTCGAAAATTGTCTTTCTATGTAATTGGAATTAATAAAATACTATTTATCTTAAAATATTTTTTTAAAAATCCAGAGACCTAAGAGAGGAGACTGTGACTAAGTGGGCATAGAACAAAGCCACATGATTCACATCCCGCCAGCCGCTGGCTGCAGCTGGACCAAGGACTCCACCATGAGTCCTTGTCATCACCATTGTGACAACACACATCCCCAGCACTAAGGTTTGGTGACTGCCTCCCTCCTCCACAGTGGGGCCCCATGAGGCAGGTGAGGGGGAGGAGGAGGAAGACAAAGAAGAAGAGGAGGAATGGGAGGAGGAGGAAGAGGAGGAGAAGGAGGAGGAAGAGGAGGAAGAAGAGGAAGAAGAGGAAGAGGAGGGGAAGGAGGAGAATGAAGGGGAGGAGGGGGAAGGGAGAGCAGGAGGAGGAAGTACATATCTACCTTTAAGGACTGCAAAGCACTTTATGTATAAATAACTCAACTTGGAAGGAACTTGAGGTTTGTAAAGGGCCTGCATATAATACCTCCTCCCCTTTTACAGAGGAGGAACCTAAGAATCAGTAAGGTTAGGAGACTGGCCCAAGATCACACAATCAGCCAGTATCTGAGGTGAGATTTTCAGCCAGGTTTTGGGCCTCCAGGTCCAGCGTTCAGTCCTCCAGCCTGTGACAGCTCCAGGATAGGCCCTTCTCTGCACTGGTGACCTTTTCCAGCACTCTGGACCCTCACAAGGTCAGTGAGCCCCTCACTCCTAGGTAGACATGAGCCCAGGTGCCCAAGGAAGGAAGCTGGGCCTGACCCCAAGGACTGATTCAGGTGCAGGCTTGAGGGTAGAATCAGGTGTGGCCCCGGGACCTCTATTCCTGGCTGACTTTGTGCAGTGGGTGAATCATTAAACTCTGTGACCCTTCTTTCTAGCCACTGACTGAGGCCCAGCTGTTCTTCCTCCCCTTCTCCATGACAAAAAAGGGGAAGCTCCCTGGGGAGCTTCTGCCACCCTGTGCAATGACTTCTCTCCCTCCCTGGGTTCTCCCAAGGCGTGTAGGGACCAGTTTCTCTCCCAGATGATCAGGGGTCCCCGTGGAGAAGAGCCTCAGACAGGCACCAACATCCTCCTGGAGCAGGGGAGTGAAATGGGAGTCACTTTAAAGAGACTGGTGATGCAGAAAGCGTGTTTCTTACTTCCAAGACAAGTCACCTTCACCCAGAGCCATACACAAGGGAATTTGGGCATAGCATCTCAGAACCCGCCCCCGTTCAACCTCGGCTCCAGAAATGTGAGACCTGGTGACCTCCTCCTCCACCCTGGAAAAATGGCTTTCAAGGATCTGTTCTTGGCCAGTGGACAATCACCCCCTTCAGGGGAATCAGAAAGAATTACTTTGAGGAAAAAAATTTGGTAAATCCAAGATTCTGACTAATGACTCACCCATCTTCTTTGGAGAATGAGACTATTTAATGAAATGTTTTATACACAAAAAATTACTCTCCAGATGCAGATCCCGGCCATCTGGTCTCCCCAGTTGCTGTGTGGGGGCTTCCTTCATGCCTTCAAGAAAGGGTTTTGTGAGTGGATCAACAACGGACCCTCATTCATCGCCCTCCTACAGAGTGAGAGCCACAGCACAAGCAGAGAGCTAAGAGGCACCGTTGACCCTCCACCCTCAGCAGACAGGCTCTTGGGCAGCCCCTGGGAGATCCAGAGATTGGGGATGAAGAGAGGAAAGGGGATCCCCCACCTCCTTTCCATGTGGAGGCTCCCCAGCAGGCCTGAGTCAGCTGTGACTCACAGGCCTTCCCTGGAGGCAGCTGAATCATCACACAGTCACGGGAAGAAGCCAGGCTAACCCAAGCCCTCTTAGCTATGCTTTTCCACACTGTGCTCCAGGGCTAGTCCTTAGCAGCTTTTATTCCAGAGAAAGTCTCTGCTTCAAGGAAGAACAATCAGGAAACCACACTTGCATTTCCATAACAGCTTTGCAGGTTAACCATAGATTGCATGGATTAGGTAGGGCCTTGACACATGCCAGGCGGGGCTGAATGTGGATCTCTGCGTGGAATGGAATTCATTAGCTTGCCTGCCATTTTTACATCCACGGCCCTGCTCACACACCTCCTTGGGCCATGGCTTCCCAGGATGGGGAGATAACGGGCTTGGGGTCACATGCCTGAGGGCCAGAGGAGCTCAGAACCAGGTCTGGAAGAAGGTGGTAAGTGTGGGGGCTGATGTAAGATGGCTGCCAGTGGAGGGAGAGCCCCTCCCCGATAAAGAGCTCATAGACCCCCCAAAGCAGCAGCCACTCATTTGTTAGCTCATTTCCCAGTCGTTGATAATACGATATACAATCTGAGAGCCAGCCTACAAAACGTATCCATCCAGATTTCTGTCTCTCTATAGAGAGTGATCAGTATATCTCTGCAGCCAGACGGGCACTGCAAACAGACAAGGAGTTGGCAGAACAGGAGAAGGAGGGGCTGGAAGAGGGTAGGCACTTTTAATAACCCCACACTTCTCCCTGGGCCACAGACCCAACTTTCCATCCCAATCAGATAATTAGCAAAACATGATAAAAATTAACAAGATGAGTTGGCAGGGCAGCAGCAGAGGGGATGACGAGCAGACAGCCCTGCCGGCCTTCCCTCGGTGCCCAAGATAGGAAGGCGCCCAGCACAGTGGCTGGCCGGCCTGCGATGCACTCATGGGAGGACCTGGACAAGTCTCACAGGACCGGCCACCACCTACACCCCCAAAGACTGAGGAGCTCACAGCCCCAGGAGGATGGATCGCAGCCTTAGGTCTCTCGCCAGAGCGCTCCTAATGATCCTGGAGGCCTCTTTCACTGACCAGGGCTGGCCATGGCTGTGAATGCTGGGCCAGCCACACTCCATTCAAGGGTCTGCGTGTGTGTCCCAGCCGTCGATGCTGTCCCGCGCCAAAAACCAAGACATGCCATTCACTCTGCAGGGCAGCAAAGCCTGACCCTGCCCTCAGTGCCTCGGCACTTGGACCAGCTCACGATGCCAGGGGCACTTGGGCAGTGAGGGGCCTCCAAGAGAGACTGGTTCAAGGACACCCAGCTGGTTTAACGGCAGAATGAGGGCCAGAGTCCGGGCCTCCAGACTCTTTCCAGAAGACCCGCTGTCTCTGTTTGTCCAATAACCCCAACCAGACACAAACTTAGGTAGTGCCACAGTGTGTGAGGTGCTGTGTGGTGGGAACAATAAGCACCACTGGCCCCATTTTACAAATGAGGAAACTGAGGCTCCCAGAGCCATCCTGGAGCAAGGAGAGAGCAGGAGGCCCAATCAATGGACTTGAGGAAGTCTTTTGGCTCCAAAATCTTCCAGCTCTGTGACTGGAGCAAGGCGGGAGGTGCTCCGAGTCCGATGGCTCAAGGCGGTGAGACCACCGGCTCTCCAGGACATGGGGGATGGACCATGA